CTAAATTAAGTGTCATGAATTATTTGTAGAACAATAAATAATGCCTTTCTACCGGTAGTCATTTAACAAGGTAAAATTAATTTTGCATTGAAATGCACTGCCTATTTTGTGTTTTCATTTTTGTCGAGCCTTCGACTTTTGTCGAAAAAGCGAGACATAGCGATCCTACATTCCGTCGGCGTCGTCGTCGTCGGCGGCGGCGGCGTCCACAAATATTCACTCTGTGGTTAAAGTTTTTCAAATTTTAATAACTTTCTTAAACTATCCTGGATTTCTACCAAACTTGGACAGAAGCTTGTTTATGATCATAAGATAATATTCAAAAGTAAATTTTGTAAAAAAAAAATTCCATTTTTTCCGTATTTTACTTTTAAATGGACTTAGTTTTTCTGCCAAGAAACATTACATTCACTCTGTGGTTAAAGTTTTTGAAATTTTAATAACTTTCTTAAACTATCCTAGATTTCTACCAAACTTGGAAAGAAGCTTATTTATGATCAAAATATAGTATCCAGAAGTAAATTTTGTAAAAAAAAAATTTCATTTTTTCCGTATTTTACTTATAAATGGACTTAGTTTTTCTGCCATGAAACATTACATTCACTCTGTGGTTAAAGTTTTTGAAATTTTAATAACTTTCTTAAACTATCCTGGATTTCTACCAAACTTGGAAAGAAGCTTGTTTATGATCAAAAGATAGTATCCAGAAGTAAATTTTGTAAAAAAGTAAAAAAAAAAAATCCATTTTTTCCGTATTTTACTTATAAATGGACTTAGTTTTTCTTCCAGTTAACATTACATACAGTCTGCACTTTAAGTTTTTAAAACATTTATTAGATTCATAAACTATCCTGGATTTTTACCAAACTTGGACAGAAGCTACTTACAATCAAAAGATAGTATAGAGAGGAATATTATAATTAATTTTTTCCTCATTTTTGTTGAGCCTGCGATTAACAACAAAAGTAGGCGAGACACTGGGTTCCGCGGAACCCTTACGAATTTTTTACAGTATAATGGTATACCACTGCCAATCCGTCCTTCTGTCCATCCATCAACACTTCGTACAATTTTCTAAAATTTGCTTCAACCAATTCTCATGTAATTTTAATACATAAGAATTGACAGAAAGAAAGCTCCCTTTTATATAAATTTTTTTCTAGAGTTACAGGACTTTTGAATGTTAGATTTTGGGCAATTTAAAAAATTTTCACATATCATGCAAGAACTCCAGTATTCCTCAAATTTTCTCAAATTTTTATATTAATGTTGGGATTACTAGAACTCCCTTTCTATTTTTGTCTCGCCTTGACGGAGTCAAAAAGCGAGACATAGGTATGCTGTTTCCGGCGTCGGCGTTGTCGGCAACGGCGGTGTCAACAATGTATTAGTTTGTGATTAGGTCTAATTCATGGTGAACCACTAGTGGTAGGCCAATGGTATTTGGTATGCAGTTGTATTAGCATTGGCAAATCTCATTACCATGGAGATTATTTGGCCCCGCCCCCTCAGTCAAGGTCTATTGACTTTGAAACTTTTCATAGTTAACATGTATTAGTTTGTGATTAGGTCAATTTATGGGGAACCACTAGTGGTAGGTCAATGATATTTGGTATGCAGTTGTATAAGCATGGGCATATCTCATTTCCATGGAGATTATTTGGCTCCGCCCCCTTAGTCATGGTCTATAGACTTTGAAAATTTTGCTAAGTTTACATGTATTAGTTTGTGATTAGGTCAGTTCAAGGGGAACCATTAGTGGTAGGCCAATATTAATTGGTGTTCAGTTGTATAAGCATTAGCACATCTCATTTCCATGGAGAATATTTGACCCCGCCTCCTCAGTCATGGTCTATTTACTTTGAAACTTTTGCTTAGTTTACATGTATTAGTTTGTGATTAGATCAGTTTAAGATGAACTGCTAATGTTTAGTCATTGATATTTGGTATGCAAATTTATTGGCATTTGCAAGTATCGTTTCCATGGAGATTATATAGCCCCACCCCTGATCATGGTTCATTGACTTTGAAACTTTTACATAGTTTACAAGTTAATGTTTGTGTTTAGGTTTGTTTAAAGGGAACGACTTATAATAAGTGAATGGTATTTGGTATGCAGTTGTATTAGCATTGGCACATCTCATTCCATGGAGATTATTTAGCCATGTACCTTCAGTCATGGTTCATCGACTTTGAATATTTGCATTACTTACATGTTAAAGTATTGCAATTTTAATTTCAACATTTGCATTATCAAAATTACAAAAAGGCGAGACATATCTCTGTGATAACAGTTTATTTTTTTTTCGGTTTGTTATTCCAGAGTTATTGGATGTTAATTGTCAGTTGTAAGTAAATTTTTCACATATTGTACCATAACTTGACTTTGCTTAGATTGATTTGGTGTAAACTTGTATAAATGTTGGAATTAGTGACCATAACAAACGGTTTGATTTAAAAAAATATCTGATATGTCATTCCAGAGTTATGGGACTTAGACCATCAGATAAATCAAAGGCGTTTATTGTCTTGCCTGCGATGAAACATAAGGATTACAATCTGGTTGGCAACAACGGCATACACTCTTTGTATTATAAAGCTTTATATTTCAGATGGTGTAAGACTTGGATACTTTATACCTTGTGTACAGATAACTTATGTTACAAAGTATCCATCTGCCATCCATTGTCCTTGACCTTATTTTTATGGTTCAGTGACTGCTTGAAAAAAATTATAGTTGTTTTATATTATTAGTTACATAGTATGCTAGTGACCTAATACGGTATATATAGGGTCAGTAAACTCCATATGGGGTGAGAGCGAAGCTCGAATCCCCATATGGAATTTACTGACCCCATATATATACCGTATTACGTCACTAGCATACTATGTAACAAATTTATCGTACCGACTATCTTAACATGTGATAATTAGACTAGTGACCTATCAAAACGAGTAAGTCTTCAATACCGTTAGCATTAAGAAACTACTTCCATTGATCATACAAAAACAGATGCCAACAATAACTACTTGTTAGCTTTAAATGTGTTTTATGAATTTATTTCAATCTTCATCATCAATTTCTTCGTCTGTTGAAACCTTTAAGATTTGTTCTCAGTACTTTTTTGTTTTTATAAAGTGATGTAACATCACTACTAACCATGTATTGAAATAAGCCCCGCCTCCCTACTAACCTAATATGGAATATACACAGTCTCCATGCGGACGCTTTTAACCAATCATATTCCTAGAAATGTATAGGAGGTAAGATAATGTGAAATACTCACTCATTATGAGCAATATGATAACTATATTTGGTATATGGGTCTCTTGCAGGGTCTACCTGACTCACCTGACCTCGACATCATTTCATGGATCAGTGATCAAGGTTAAGTTTACATGCTCAAGTAGGTATCTCAGATACTAGAAGCAATAGGTCAACTATATTTGGTGTATGGAAAGGTTGTAAGATGTACATGTCCGACTGGCAGGTTTCATTTGACCGTGAACTCATTTTCATGGTTCAGTGGACAATGTTTAGTTTTTGTGGTTTGGTCAATTTCTCAGATACTCGAGGCAATAGGTCAACTTTATTTGGTACATGGAATGATTGTAAGGTGCATATGTCTGATTGGCAGGTTTCATCTGACCTTGACCTCTTTTTCATGGTTCATTTGATAATGTTTATTTTTTGTGGTTTGGTATATTTCTCAGATACTATAAGCAATAGGGCCACTATATTTTGTGTATGGAAAGATTCTAAGATGTACATATCTGTCTGGCTGGGTTCAAATGATCTTGACCTCATTTTCATGGTTTATTGGTCTAATAATTTTTTTGTGGTTTGATCTGTTTTCCAGGTACTTAAAGCAATAAAAGGACTATATTTATTGTATGGAATGATTGTCAGGTGTTACTGTCTGTCTGACATGGTTCATTTGACCCAGACCTCATTTTCATGGATCATAGGCCAGCTCCAGGATACGGTAGTTAGTTGAATCTGTCATGTGACTTCCATCACCACATGACTAAAATGTAGGCATCATCACTTCCAACACATGTTGAGCGAACGGGTGAAAAAGTTTGATCTTATACTGCACAAAATATTTGGAGAATTAAAATCCAATAAGTTGGTCACCCTCCCTTAAGTGGTTCAGGAATTAAGATTACGTACTTACGGAACATTAATTATTTATAAACTACCCTGCAGAATGACGATTCTGAAAGTACTTGAAACTTTAATGGAGCAGGGATACAGGCGCGCCTTCTATCTGGTAAATGACGTCATAAAGGCGTGCGAACTTGACGATATTTTCCGGTGAAAGACATAATTCGAGAAATGGCCTATTGGTTATGTGAAGTTTATGTGATACTTGTTGTAAAACCTTCATATAACAGACTTTCAACATAAATTCAATCATAAGAACAGTAGGCAAGACATTTCAGTGTTTGTATTGTATTAAGCTTTATATTTCACAAGGAAGAAAGCATGGATGCTTCATACTTTATATACATATGCCTTATGTGAGGAAGTTTCTGTCTGGTATATGTCCATCATCGTTGAACTCATTCTCATGGTTTGGTGGCTGCTTAAAGATGGTTGCTACTCTTGTTTTTGACTTTTTGTCATCTATTTGTAATCCTCCATGTTTATCCATGTAGGGCCAATTTAAATTTTGCCCGATTACCCCTACTTTTCTGTTCATAATTTTATTACATATAGTTTAAAAAGCAATTTATGAAAATCTGTTCAAAGCTTGTCATTTTGAAACATCCTTAAGAAACTGTTTTTCATAGTTGATAGATGAACTATTCTGACTCCTTCGAACCGCTTTATATAAAATTGATGAAAAAAACTTTTGGTTATTCCGAATGGGGATATAGAAATAAAACCTGCTATCATTTAACATAAGGAAAAAACAAAAATAATTATTTGATTAATGTTGTAAGCATGCATTGCTCAGTGAGTACCTGTAGATTGAATTAACTATAAATTACAGGACGGATTCATGGCACAGTTCATCAGAGTTTGATGAAAGAACATCAGTGTGACCTTCAACCTGGAACTGTTGTTGTACTCAGACAGGTAGGTTGAAAAATAAAGAAGACCAGTGTGACTTTCAACCTGGGACTGTTGTACTCAGGTAGGGTTAATAATAAAAAAGACCAGTGTGGCCCTTAACATGGAACTGTTGTTGTACTCAGACAGGTAGGTGAATAACAAAGAAGTGTAGTTGTAATCTGGTTGGTCAATTTTAAAGTTCTTTCATCTCTGAAACTGAAAGGCCACATTTTCTCAAATTTGATTAATAATAAATATTTGATGAAGCTGAAATGTATCAATAGTAACCTGCCTAAGTAGTTTGTAAATGTTTTCATTTTCTGTGAAAAAAAATAGGAATACACACAAAATAATAACTTTAAAGTTAAATATTCAGAAGTAGGAATAGATCAAGGACATATATGTTTTCAGCAGACAAAAAATATTTGATAAAATAATCATATTACAATATATTTATAAATTATTAGTTGTCTGCACATGTTTTCAACAAGCCTGTAAATGTTTGGATGATTTTTGTATGTCTTTGTATAATGAGATGATTTTCTAAATGGCCAGTAAATTTTGACATTTTGAACTGTTTTTTTTTTCAAAGGAAAAATCCAGTTATTAGTTTGATGAAGTATGGCAGGCAGCTGGCGGGCAGCTGCCAACAGTTTCCAGGCAATATCTTATGAAACATTCAACCAATGCTTTTCAAATTTTAATATGTTTTTATTGATGACAAAATTTAGGTCAAGTTTGATATTGACGATTTTCACTTGAACTGTTCAGGAGTTATTGTCCTTGATATATTGGAAAAGTATACTTTATGTTGTTTCCATGTATATCTATGAACTGTTTTAACCAATACTTTTCAAAGTTTGATATGTTGTTAGTGGATACAAAATGGAGGTCAAGTTCAATATTGACGATTTTCACTTTTATAGTTCAGGAGTTATGGTCTTTGATAGATTGGAAAATGGCCCTTTATGTGCTTTCCATACAATAACTTATTGCTTATGAACTCTTTAACCAATGATTTTCAAATTTCAATGTGTTGTTAGTGATTACAAAGTGGAGGTCAAGTTCAATATTGACGATTTTCAATTTTACCATTCAGGAGTTATGATCCTTGATAGATTTCAAAATTGCACTTATGTTGTTTCCATTTGATAATCTATGAACCCTTCAACCTATGCTTTTCAAATTTTAATATGCTGTTACTGATGACAAAATGGAGGTAAATTTCAAATTAATGATTTTCACTTTTGTGGTTCAGGAGTTATTGTCCTTGATAGATTGAAAATAGGCATAGAACATGGCAGATCAAACAAGCTTGACATTGCCTTCAAAATACAAAAAAAAACATTTTGCTGTCAATTTGACAGCTCTTTATGCCCCGCGACAAAATGTTTAGGTCATATTAATTTACCCTTGTCCTTTAGTCTGTCCAGAAAGAGATACATGGTTTGTCTAGCTATCTACTACAGTTTTTGAGCTGCAGCTTTAATATTTTGTAAATAGAGGAGTGCATGTCCACAGGATTTAGATTTTTTTCAAATATTCTCAAAATGCCAGATATTTGGACTTAGTCATTTATTAGTACTAGCTGCATCATGGTTTGTCCGGCTATATCCTCCTACAATTTTTGAGCTACAGCTTTAATATTTTGTAGGGTGTTCCCACACATAACAGAGGTGTGCATGGCCACAGGATTTTTATTTTTTCAAATATTCTTAAAATGCCAGGTATTTGGACATAGTCATTATATACTATATATAGCTAGCTGCATAAAGAGATCATGGTTTGTCCGGCTATCTCCTACAGTTTTTGAGCTACAGCTTTAATATTTTGTAGGATGTTTCTACACATAATAGAGGTGTGCATGTATACAGGATTTTGATTTTTTTTTTAAATATTCACAAAATGCCAGGTATTTGGACTTGGTCATTTTTTTGGTACTAAAAGTCAGAAAGGGGGGATGTTAGATATTCACAAAACCGGTAGTTGGACTTCATTTCCTTCTCACTTGCTATATAATTGAAAACATGGTTTGTACTACTACAGTTTAATATCCCTAATGAAAATAATTAAGATTTTTGTATTGTCAAATATTTAATCAATACTGGGAAGTTGAACCTGGTGACTCCTAAAACTGGAAAGTTGAAACCTTTTAGCTGGACATTCAGTCCTGCAAGTGTAGACATTCAGAATGAAAATAAAAGATAGATCATCATACTTAGTGTTAAATTTATGATTTCTTATGGTCAGGCGAGGCATCATTTGTGTTTTACACACAGCGCAACAATTTCAAGTTGTACTTCAGCATCACTGATTGTCAAATCTAAAGTATGTGGAAATATACTCATGCATATGGCAGAGCAGCACATCTTCCATATCTAGTTTCTTGTTTATTTTCACTATGCCTTTTTATGTTCAAAGTTTTAAGTTTATTTCATGTTTAAGACCACCATCTTCATTTTTTGAAAGATGTTATATGCATATTTGATACCTAGCTTTAACACATCTAAAAAACTTTGTTTATCCTTAAATGACAATTAATCAAGAAGAAAAGGTCACAATGTTATATTCTTTAATAGTCAAATAATAATTCCTTAGATTTTAACATTAATTAAATGAAATATCATTCAAAGCAAAGTCCTATTGGTTTTCTTGAAAGTTGACAAACTCAGAAATGCTGTCACAATAAAACAAGGTTTATAATATTCCATACCAGAAAATTTCAACTAAAATGAATTGGTTTTGAAATAAAACCCGATTAGATCAGTAAGACTCTTTTTCCTCTTAATGTCTTATCCCATGTGTAACATTATTGGTGAAGGAACCATTACCAGTATCCCCAATGACACAATTTAGGAAGCCATAGTGTGGCATCAAAGATATCATAGAAATAAAAAAAGGACAAAACTGTAGACTATTAATTCAGATTACTTTAAAAGACAGTACAACTGTATACTGTATATCATTACAAACATGATATACCATGACGAATGGATAAATTGTGAAAATAACTGTGAAAACAAATTAATGATGTTTCCAAATTGTTACAATAAATCTTTATACTCTTGCAATAAAGACTGACAGTAATGTATTCTCTCTTTGGATGACTTTAAGAAAGCCATTTGTTTACAGCTTTATTTTATTTTACAAAGATCAATAAATGAGAAATCTTCCTGATCATTGGTAATTTGTTCTTTTGTGACTTTGAAGCATTATTTTCACTCTTTACATTTAAATTATGAATCAAGATTGCATGATAGGTTCTAATTAAGTTTCTGAGTTCAGAGAGATTTCATATGTATTTCATATGTATTGGCCTGAGGGTGCATTAAGTGTTACCCTTGTCCGTATGTCCCAAAATTAGTTTCCATTCTCTTACTTTAGTTTGCCTCAACCAAATGTTATGAAACTTAAACACAACGCTTAATACCACACAATACAGATCAAGTTCGAATTTGGGTTGCGTCACTTATACTGTTCTTGAGTTATGTCTTTTTATAACGTTATATACAAGCAGGGTATCATCTGTGTCCCATGGACACATTCTCTATTATTGTGTATATGTATTTAGTGCTTAATTTTGAAGAATAATAGATCTATACAACCAGCAATTGAAATGTATCTTTGATCTTTTTTTTATTGTTTATGCTGAACATCAAATCACAAAACTTTTATACAAGTAAGTTGGTCTCATTGGGGGGTTCTGATCCCGCATCCCGCTTACTGTTTTGTCAGATTCCCGTATCCCGCTTACACTATGTACGTAAGCAATTCTCATTTTTTTTGTAATTTCCCGTATCCCGCTAGACATCATTTCCCGTTTTCACGGCACAATAATTTGACTTTCACGTGTCACTCTTGCAAAAAATCGGCAACCCCGCGTCACGCTTAGACCCCAATGAGACCCACAAGTAAGGATCTGGGAATTGACAAGAGAATGTTGACATTCACTGAAAAGTAAGGTTAAAAAGCAAGGAGTGGGCTCTGCGTCATTTTCAAACTTTTGCACTCTTTAATAGCAGAGGAATAGAAATATGGCTTCTTTTTATTTTGCATTGTATATTCCTGGAATAGGACTTGTTTGAAAGGGTGCATTTTCATTTGTGGACTCAAGAAAAATGCACCAATATCCTGGTAAAATTGGGTACAGTATTAAATTTCAGAGGTCCTCCTTGGGAGAGTGTTTTTTCCAGATCTTTTAGAACCCTTTCAACCACTAGACTAAAATGGTCCATATTTGGGATTATGTAAGGCAAAATCTCTAACATAATCAAAATCTAAAGGCCAGTTATGGATCCAAATAGGTAATTTTGCAGGATGCATAGGTAACTCGGGCTAGGATCAAGCCATCTTGATAAGGGGGGTTCCAACCCCCAGAATACCATGAAATTTTCACATAATTAAAAAAAAAACAAATAAAAAAAAATGAAGAAAAAAAGGGGGTTCCAACCCCTGCTAGATTTGCCAATGTAAATTCTATAAAAGGTTGACTTAATACTTCAGATAAACAAGAGACATAAAGTAAAAAAAAGACTAAGTTACTGAAAGCTAAATTATGCTATTAATAAGTCAGGTCAGGGTCATTGACATAAACCTGGTTTTCTTTACTCATAGCTTATACCTTATATGCTAAAAAGTAATTAGTGATAGCAAAATCCAAGACAAAACTATTTTCCAGTAATAAATTGTTTTGTTATTGAAATCCCAAATGTCATTGCAGGATAAGACATGAGTTGGCATATTACACACGGATAAATGCAGTCATAGCAACATCATCATCTATAAAGAAAATTGTTAGTCAAGAAAGAAAATCATTTGTTTTCTGGGTTTTGTTAGTTGTTTTCCATGTGAACAAGAAGTATGTGCGTAAAGATCCTGGAAAAAATTACTTAAATGTCTTTGTCTGAGATGTATTTAGATTACCCCTGAAGGAAAACATTTTTGCAGTATGATAAGAGTAGCATGTATTAAGAAAGAGAATTAAAACTAATTTTACTTCTTGTGCAATTGATTTTAGACCATATGTAACCAGTAATACTTATTGGAATTGATTTGCTAAATGGAAATCATTGTGATATTAGATTTTCTACAAGAAAACTTAATTAAATGCCAGCATATACATGATTTCTACAGTGAAAGTTATTGGCAAGTTCTTAATATTAAGTTTAAAGTCTATAGTAAATGAAGTTAACCAGAAATCTGAATAATGCTCTTATTTATAAACAAAGCTCAAGAAATTAAATTGTCGTCTTAATCTGATGGTATATATAATAAAATGCTCCGCTGGGTGCAGCTTGATACGACCGCAGAGGTCAAACCCTGAACAATTGGGGCAAGTATGGACACAACATTCAAGCTTGATACAGCTCTGAATTTGGATTGTGATTAAATATTTGACACAGCATAGGTTTCTAGCACGGAATGAATGTGGTCTAAGAACTTAAAATTTTTTAATCTACCTATTATGGTCAAATATCCAAAATCTAAATACATGGTTAGATTCAGCATATCAAAGAATCCAAATAATTCAATTTTTTATGAAATTAAACAAAGTTTAATTTTGGACCCTTTTGACCTCAATGTGGACCAATTTGATAACGGGGCCCAAAAATCAAAATACATGGTTAGATTCATCATATCAAAGAACCCCATATATTCAATTTTTGTTGAAATCAAACAAAGTTTAATTTTGGACCCTTTGGCCCTTAATGTAGACCAATTTAAAAATCGGGACCCAGAATTAAAAATCTATATACACGGTTAGATTTGGCATATTAAAGAACCCCAATAATTCAATTTTCAAACAAAGTTTAATTTTGGACCCTTTTGACCTCAATATGAACCAATTTGATAGCGGGGCCCAGAAATAAAAAATCTAAATACATGGTTAGATTCAGCATATCAAAGAACCCTATATATTCAATTTTTGTTGAAATCAAACAAAGTTTAATTTGGACCCCAATTTGGACCAACTTGAAAACTGGGCCCAAAATCAAAAATCTAAATACATGTTTAGATTCAGCATATCAAAGAACCCCATATATTCAATTTTTTGTTAAAATCAGACAAAGTTTAATTTTGGATCCTTTGGACCTTAATGTAGACCAATTTGAAAACTGGACCCAAAATTAAAAATCTAAATACACAGTCAGATTCGGCATAACAAATAAATAAATGTGGTCAAAGATTTTACAAATCTAATGCGCCATACTGTGCAATTAAAGATTACTTCTTGAAATTTTTCAATATTTGAAATTTGAAAAAAAAATAATATTTGAAGAATAATTCTTTTTAATTTCTGAAATCTGAAATGAGAAAAAATTGACCCCCCCCCCCCCCCCCCAATTTCTTTTTACCCCCCCCCCCCCTTTTCACCCAAAAAATTTTTTCCCTCAAGATATGGTCATAATCTCAATTCAAATTTCGAATGGAATTTGCAACCATAACTACCAATTTAAATTTACCATAGTGCTAACTGAATATATTTTATAATAGAATTTAAAATATGGTGTCAAATCTTTCATATGGATTTTTTGGTAAAAAAAAAAGATGCAACATTTGCAGATATTTTTACTGATCTTCCTTTATAAATATACATTTCTTTAAACATAATTTAAAAGCAGTGTAAGGGAAGTAATCAAAACGTTGTATTTGGATTACCTCCCTTACACTGTTTTAAATTGTCTTAATTGTTCATTAACCATTACTTTATACATAATTAAAAGCAGTGTAAGGGAGGTAATTCAAATGATGAATTTGATTTATCTCCCTTACACTGCTTTAAATTATGTTTTGTACTAAAGTATTTGTCCATTAACCAGGACAACCTTGTTTTTCCCCCTTTTTTGCCCCTAATTCCTAAACGGTTTGAGCCATAACCCCCAAAGCAAATCCTAACCATCCCTTTGTCGTATGGAAACTTATGGTATAATTTCAGAGAGATCCATATACCGTTCCACAAATTATTGTCTGGAAACTAGAAAATGCTTGTTTTTGGCCCCTAATTCCTTAACTGTTGGTACCATAACCCCCAAAATCAATCCCAACCTTCCTTTTGTGGTATTTAACCTTATGGTAAAATTTCATAGAGATCCATTCACTTAAACTTAAGTTATAGTGCGAAAACCAATGTGTCTTCGGACGACGACAACGCCAACGTCATACCAATGTACGACCGCAAAAAATTTTTGCAGTGGTATAAAAATTGACTTTTGATCTTTTTTAATTGATTTTCCAGTGCATTTCTTGAAATACTATAATTAATCGTTTTGGCAATGAAAAGTTTCCATCAATACTATTTAGATATGACAAGGATTGCGTTTGTTGTTGCAGCTTTTAAATTGATCTGGCAAAATCGGTCGATTACGTGTTTTGAATGAAATTAGTTTATAGGGTTACAATTTGTGAGTGATCATTGTGTTAATTTTAAAAGAGAAATTACATAATATAAAGGCAAAAGAAATGTCTGTTTTGTACAATGACTGAAATATTATGTAAGAGGCATCTAACTTTTTGAAGTAGATGGATGTTTTAAAGCCAATCTTAATCTAGTAAATAAACTATTCTGACATTATGTAATAACGGAAAATTGATGTAAGATTCAAACTTAGTAATAACAAATTGTTGTTTTATTGTACACATGAGAACAGATTCAATCAGATATATATGTTTGCAGTGCAATCATCAATTATAAAATGAAAAACATAAGCTGATAGCAGTTTGAACTTTCTTCCAATCTATTTACAAAGCCAGGGCAGATTTTTAAATGATTCCAAATTTCAATAAGAAAGCAACCAAACAACACAAAAAAATCAAAAATGCATCTTGAGGTGAACATATGGTCTTTATCAAAAGACAGGTGTCCATTGGTTTTCGATTGACTTTCATATTTTTGTATTTAGATCCATATTTTGATATGACCATAAGCCATAAGGGAATTTTTCACATTTCTCAACCTTTGTTTAGTTCAAACCTTTTTTGTTTAAGTTCTGGCTTCACCCACTTAGTTGAAATATTATATAGTTTATTTCTCCATATCTTATTCACCTACAATCATGTATCCAGGTATTCAAATGCATCTATTGATTAATGTCAGCTGAAATTCTATAAAATAAATTGATTTTGACCTACATTACTGATAGTTTAGTCCTAGCTCATTAAAATTGGATTGAGTGAAAATATAGATATGGAGAACAAAAAATGTGAGTCTTCCTAGGAAGATGTATGCCACCTGCTGTCTCCAAATAATATAAGTAGATATAATGAAGTCCCTGTTTTAGTATGGGAATTGCCAAAAAAACACTCGAATAAAAAAATCAAATAGCATGTGCACAACTTCATGTCCTATAGATTAATTATCTGTAAAGTTGTAGATTAACAAAATGTGATGCAAACCAAGGTAACAATGACTGATTTGATCCCTATATGTTGCTACAGCTTCACTATTAGGTAACACAATAATATACTTGTGTAGCAATTTTATCCTAGCTAGTGAATGGATGGTATTATTCATTTTTATGCCCCTTCCGTCATCGGAGGGGTCATTAAGTGTTACCCTTGTCTATTGTTCATATGTCGTCTGTCTGTACGTACGTCCCAAAATTGGTTTCCGTTTTCTAACTTAAGTTTGCCTCAACCAAATGTTATGAAACTTTAATACACAATGCTTATGACCACAAAACTCAGATCAAGTTCGAATTTGGGTGGCGCCACTTTTACTGTGTTATGTCCCTTTATAATGTTATATGAAAGTGGGGGCATTATCTGTGTCTCATGGACACATTCTCCATTTATTATATATATATATATATATATATATTTCTATTTATAAAACTAGGGATCTTATAACTGGAAAGTTTCACACAATTAAAAGTAATGTTAGAATATGATTATTTTTTTTTCTTTATAGGTTAGCATGATAAGTCCGACAACCAGAAATCACTATCTGAATGTCACTCCAGCCAATGTTGTTGTTATTTATAGTAACACGTCAAATGGATTGAAAACCTCAAGAAATATAGAGAAAAATAAATCCTTAAACTCAGTACTCCAACAAGTGGAACCCTATATCAGTGAAGATGGTAATGTCCGAAGGAGATCTGGAATAAACCAGACTAAAACTCCAACATCTTCCTGTGTTCAAGGAAGTATGTCTACACCTGGTTCTATTTCAAACAAGTTTAGACAAGGAAATATGTCTACACCTGGTTCCTTCCCAAACAATTGTGGACAGGGAAATATATCTACACCTAACTCTATCTCGAACAAATTTGGACAAGGTAATATATCTACACCTGGTTCAATCTCAAACAAATATGGACAAGGTAATATATCTACACCTGGTTCAATCTCAAACAAATATGGACAAGGAAATATATCTACACCTGGTTCAATCTCAAACAAATATGGACAAAGAAGTATGACAACACCAGCTTCCTTTTCAAACAAATGTGGACAAGGAAATGCATCTACACCGGGTTCAAACGATTCTAGAAATATCATAAACAGCAATAACTTTATTAAATCAGATCAGATAGGAAGCAGTATGTGTGTGACAACTCCACAAATATCTCATAATCTAACTGTACATACTCCAACAATTCAACAGAATTTTTCTAATCAGACACCTCAGAGGCCACAAAGTTCAAACAAGTTTAAATTTGTGAAAACACCAAATGTATTGAACACTGGTTGTCATTCCGTACAAAATGCTGGAAGTCATACAGGTCAGCCAAATAACACAGAAAGTCGTATACCCCTGACACCCAATATTCAATTATTGGCAAAACCGACAGTTTCAAATAATGGGAACATAACCCCATCTGTTTATAGTAGGGTTTCCAATACATCGGTTTCTATAAATGAAAATAAACAAAACTTTAATAAGGCTTCCTCTTCTATAAATTTGACACAAGATGAAAGAAATATCAGTGAGAAGCCTTATTTCAGTAGAAATCTGTGTTCAACAGACTTTAATTCTAACAAGATTGGTAACAACAATACCTCTCTTGGGGCAAAAAATACAATTTCAAGCAATAATTTTCAAAGAAATGTTCAGATTGTACCTAGTAAACTTGGTAATAGTGAAATGCAGACATCAAAGTGCGAAATTACAGAATGTAGTGCTAGTCCGTCAGTAAAAAATGGCTTCAGGTTTAAATCATCAAAAGGGGCTAGTGTTACAGCTGATCAATGTAAAACTACAGACATTCATATGACAGCAATATCGAATGCTACCACTACCAAGTGTGAGAATGTATTAAAACAAGTGAGAGATCCACCTAAACCGTGTTTTGAAGTTGATTCCATGTGGCAAGATGGTGAGTCCTTATTTAAGTTTTCTATCCTCTCTTAAAATTTCATGATTTTAAATTGATATATGTAAGTTTATTTTACCTTTGATCTTCTTTTATACAATACTATATGATGATTGAGGAATAGGGATCAAAAGAAAAGATATATATAAAAGACGATATCATGTAATTGTTCATGAGACAGTATTGTGGATTCCTTTATTTTTGTGGGTTCCATTTTTCATGGATTGAGGAAAAATTGTATTTTCGTTGATATTTGATTTCTTGGTTTTCCCAAAGTCTACATACAAACCTTTAGAAAATTTGTACTTTGTCTATCATTCAAATTGGTGATTCACCTATACCAATGAAATCCACGAACATTAGTATTCCACGAATAATAACGAATCCACAGTAACTGAATAGCGCAAATTCACCAAAAAAGGCATTTGGATGTCAATATATATATATACAGTGACATTAATTGCTTACCGGTATACCAAATGCATTTATCATAAATTTTGAATGAATTCAACAGAGGTTGCCAAACATCAGGTAACAAAACCAATTTGACAAAAAGACCTGAAGATACAATGACAACCACAGACAATGTCAAGCAAATTAAATTTTCACTTATTCTTCATGTTCTTAGCTAGTTTTAATATTCCTGATAAAAGGCTAAATAAAATTGAAGACATCAATATGGAAGAACAGAACAATCAAAATTTGCCTTCATCCAGCAGAAATCATTTGAGAAAAATATATGATATTTCTCAAATTTCTTACAGTGAAAGTTTTTTAAATTGCTAGCCAGACTTCTGACATGTTGAAAATGAAATTTAAATGTCTTTATTAAAAAAGATGACCAAAACAACTGAAGAAATATTCCAAGGTGATGAAAGCAAGTCATTGTACTTTAAAGAAACCATGTCTTCTTATACTCTTATATCATCTGCTGTATTTTTATGGCCCCGCCACAATATTGCCTGGAGCTCTAGTTTCAACCTTATCAGTCATTCCGCCTCGAAAAAGTAATACTTACTTTTTTCTAAAGGCCTTCACATATATATTGAGTTTTTAGTATGTGAGTCTACTATGATGAGTTACAGATCTAGTTTATGTATGGTTCCACTCCTTTGATTTGTGCCAAAATTACACGCTTTGGACTTTGAAAATAACAGTGATACCTACTTTCATTCTTAAATTTCCACTCCTAAATTTGGCTTCAAGCTTGAGCAGGTCCAACACTTCTATTTAAATATCTTTCACTTAAGAAAGTCATAAATAGTGGTAGTACACATATAATTTGGTAGTTCTTTTATTTACTACAATAGGCAAAGTAGAGGTACATGCAGTCTGAATAAACTTGTAATTATGAATAAAAGGGGATGATACATCATGTACATAGTTAATCAAAGAAAAAGCAACCCAGTACAAAAACCCAAACTGCTTCTTGAAGATAAACCTATAGTTTTCAATTATTGACAAGTGTCCATACATGATGCAATATGTCAAGCTCCAAATTGCCCAAATCTCAAAAACTTCGATGGACCATAAAAGATTTGCCCTTAACTACCAATTTGCTATAAAAGGACAAAACAATAATAATACTGTCATGACTCTATCATAGATTGCTGGCACTTGTACTTAATAAGCAGCTTATAATTCTTCAACCCTGTCATCTTGGGCTAAATTTCTTGTCTTATCTTAAGCTTATCTCATTTTAAATTCTGATTCATAGTCCAGTTTCTCAATTTAGTCCTCACAATCTCTCTGTTAGTGTCATGTGCTAAATATTTATTCATGACTGGAGATCCCATTAATTGTATTTACTTTCCAAGCTAAGTAATCAAATATCTAGCAAAACCATGTGAAAGCAACCATTTTATTTCAAAAGTTGATTAAATGCATCTAGACACATGCTAGGTATCAGATACTTAATAATTCTCAAAAGATTTTACAAACTTGTTTTATTACTAATTTGGTATCAAATAATCAAATATCTAATATTTTTTAGGAGTCAATATTGTAATTAGAGCTTATGACATGTATAATGTATAAAGAATCTCTATGGAATTTACCAATATTTCACAATTTAGTATTTCTGTTAGTAATATTGTCTGCTTTTACAATTTTACCCTAGAGTAGTGAAGAATTTGTCAAATAAGCAGATGTATGCATGAAATTGTGTGACTATTATAGTTGTTGACAAGATTTTATATCTCTTGGGAATTTCCACAACTTCATCCCAGCCTTGTTCAAAGTCTCTGTCTGTGGTTTTTTGTTTTATTTTTCCAGAGAAAACTCATTTGGTGATGGAGATTAATTAGATTAGTCTTGTCAGGCAATGAATGGTGCACAAAAGAAAACTACCAAACTTAGTAAATTGAATAATTTCCTGAATGAATAGGGTTCACCATACGGTGACCTATAGTTGCTTACTTCTGCATCATTTTGTCTCACTGGTAATCATACCACATCTTCTTAATGTGGAGCCTGCAACATTTATGTCGCAAAAGTGAGACAGCGATCCTAGATTCTGTTGGCAGCAGTCTGTGGTTTAAGTTTTTTTAGACATTAATAACTTTGTCAAACCTTTATGGAAATTTAGGACAGAAGCTTGTTTTTGACTAAAATACAGTATCCAGAGCAAAATTTTGAAAATATTTATTTTCATTTTTCCATAATTTTGCTGATAAATGGACGTAGTTATTTTTTTGTTAACATTCAGATTTAATCTGTGGTTATAGTTTTTCAGTCATCAATAACTTTCTCAAACCTTCATGAATTGTAGGAAATTTGGACAGAAGCTTGTTTATGACCAAATGACAGTATCCAGGGCAAAATTTTGAAAATATTTATTTTCATTTTTCCGTATTTAACTGATAAATGGACTCATTTTTTTTTTTACATACACTAATAGATACATTCTGGGGTTAAAGTCTGTTAGACATCAATTACTTTATTCAACCTTCATAGAATCTGATGAAACTTTGGCAGAAGCTTTTTTATGATTAAGAGATAATGTCTGAAGCAAACTTTTGAAAAAATTTTTTTTTACATTTTCAGTATTTTTCTGATAGATAGACTTAGTTTTTAACAGTTAATATTTACAGACAGTCTGGGATTAAACTTTTTTGGCATGATAAATTTGTAAACCTTCATGGATTGTTATGAAACTTGGGCAGAAGCTTATCTTCAAGACCATGAAATAGCATCTAAAGAAAAAGTTGTAATTTTTTTCAAATTCTGTATTTTACTGATAAATGGACTCTCTTTTTAAGTCAACATTACACTTTTACACTGACAGCAGCAATAGCAGGCAAGACACAGGTTCCGTGGAACCCCTTACAATTTTTTTTTATATAGTTGTCATGTAAATCAGTATTAGAAAAATTGTTATAAAAATTGAATTATAATTTACTTTTGTCTTTCATGCTTTTTGGTAGCAAAACAATTATGTCTATCTGATGTTAATATATCTAATATTCTAATGTGGCCATTTTTATTTCAATACTTAACTGTTGTAGATGTAGATAAGTTGGAACTCTCCAGCTACAAAAAAAATTCAACAGGTGATGTTGTAAATATTGCATTAAACATGGTCACTTTAGAATAAAAAAAGGGAAAGTCAGAATTTAATGATTGTTGGTGAATGGTTTTGGACTTTGATTTCATAAATTTTGTATTAGCATCAATATATCTTTGTAGAACATAAGCCTTCTCTTGTAAACCTATACTCAAGAGACTTATTTATTATTTTCTTACTGCCTATATGAATTTATAAACAAGAATTCATGTCACTATGTATGATGCATTAAATCAATTGTATTGCAGGTGAATTTTATTGATGTTTTATATTGTTAAATGTTTATCCTTTATTTCAGATTTAAGTGATGATCTTTTGTCACAGCTGTCAGAAGAAATGATGTAGAAAGAGAGACAGTCATAATATAATTTGTGGTCTGGAACAATAACATTTAAAGAAAATATTGCTTCAAGAAGATGTTGATACATGAAAATATAAACTAACTGTTGTTTCAATAAGTTCTGTTAATTTGAGGAGAACTAAATGATCTGTAATCATGCATGCTAAAAAGAGTCATATTGCTGACATTAGAAACTATTTGAATCACCAATCATGCATGCTAAAAAGAGTCATATTGCTGACATTAGAAACTATTTGAATCACCAATCATGCATGCTAAAAAGAGTCATATTGCTGACATTAGAAACTATTTGAATCACCAATCATTAGCTAAAAGATGAAATATGTGTTAAAACAGTGTGATTAACTAAAATAACAATTTCAGTAATATGCTTATAACCTTTATGCCTACCTGATTTACCCACATGAAACCACAAGGTTGTTAAAATATTTTTAAAGGTGGAAATAGTATGCTAAAAAAAAGCCTGTGTCTTTATAATATAACAGTTATACCCTACTAGTTCTCAAAACGTCCGAACCCGTCCTTAAAAATATGTAACATGGAATGTGGTCTCGCTAGAACATACAGCTTTGGCATTAAAAAGACTATATTGCAACCCAAGTTAGTTCTTAAACAGTTCTTGATACGTCCAACTCCTCTTTATCCTGTTTGCAGTCCATTTATATCCAGTTCAGATTGGGTAAAATTGCCTGTTCAACTCATGGGGACGCCGTTATATAAACAGTCCAAGCCCGTCTGTAGTCTGTTTACACCGGCTTTAACTTTTTCTACTTAGTTTCTTATATTCAAAATCCGTTCTAACTAAGTCCTAACTTCATCACCATGTTCGCACGCAGACAGTTTAACTATTTTTGACTTCGTCCTCATCTCGTCCCTAGTGCGCTCAAAACTTAATTGTCATCTCGTCCTGTCCTGATGGCTATAAAAACCCAGTACATTTCTGCCAGTCCTCTCTTGTTTGCAGCTTTTTGTTTATTTATTTTTCAGTTATGCTGGTATTTTTATAACTTGTGTTTTTTTAAATGATGATACTGCATATGGTGACATGCTTCATGATTGTCTGATATTCCATTTGATACCTATGTATGCTATGGTGATATACGTCTTCAATGAAGTACAGCATAGAAATAAATATGTTGATATAGTATGTCTATTATTTCCCCTCTATACAAACTAGAACTGTGATTACATTCAATGAAGATACTCCCAGTCAGCCCAGAGCTCTGCAAAGTTATCCATGTTTCTGAGCGTAAAAATAACCAAGTGATGAACCAGTGAGAAAATGGCCTCTTTTTATACCATACCTTGTCTGATTGTACAGCAGGCGAACTTTTAGAACTATGTAAAAAGGTCTTTCTTACTTGTTCAGAACTTGTTATTTTGTTTGGATCGTTATTAGACAGAATAAAGACGCACCAAGGACATACTGAGGTTGAGTTGGGTCTGTATGTGATTGTATGTGAACAGGATGAATGTGCTACAAACTTGGTCTGTGTGCACACATACATCCAGAAAGCAAAAGAATAAGGCATTATAGTCGTTTTAAAGTCATCTGTTTCATGTATTTACAGTAAGTTTTAGTTGCATTAGTCAAAAATTCAATAATTTGTTTTTATTAACCCGAATGACCTTATTTATCCCCACACTCAATTTTTTTTATTGCTGATTTTAAAAATGAAAATCCAGCCATTTTTAGACATTTCAAAACTAGATTCTTTCTAACTACTGCCACTTGTGGCATAAAGTAACATAACTCTAAGTCAGCATTTGATAGTGTATCTTTGTGTTTGGCATTTTGCTGTGTATTATACAGAAGTTACGGAACAGAATGAAATATTTTATTCCATAGTTTTTTCAGTGGATATACTTCTGATTTCAGAAAAAAATAAAAACAACACATTATTAATTTCATGCGTCCAAAGCGCTTTTCTGGATTTACCTTCACCAGGAATGCTCATAGCGTAATAGATTATAATCTATATTACATTGCTATAATATGTCCACTCACATAGAGCAGATGCATGGTGTACTGCAATCCCCTTGTCTATCTGTCTGTCTTAAAAAAGTGTCTCAGTTCTGTCCATTACTTTCTTTGCCTACTACTCATCTTCTGTATAAAGGAATTATTTTATGTTTGGTCTGAAACTTCATTATGATTATTTGTACTGTTTCAGTGATTTTCAGTTCTGCTCATCAGTTAGTTCCTACTTGACTATGATTTGTAATTTTATTATACATATTTAGTAGGGTTTATACATTATATCTTACTCAGCTACTGCAGAAAGTAATGATTTAATGTTTGGTCTGGAACTTCATTATGTTGAGTTGTACCATGTAAGTGATTTTCAGATTCACTGGGCAGTCAATTCCAATTAAAGATACTTTGATTTTTTTATTATACCCATTGAGCATGGAATTTTGTAGTCAATGTCTAATATATATAAGAAGATGTGGTATGAGTGCCAATGAGACAACTCTCCATCCAAGTCACAATTTATAAAAGTAAACCATTATAGGTCAAAGTACGGCCTTCAACACAGAGCCTTGGCTCACACCGAACAGCAAGCTATAAAGGGCCCCAAAAATGACTGGTGTAAAACCATTCAAACAGGAAAACCAACGGTCTAATCTATATAAAAAACGAGAAACGAGAAACACTTATGAACCACATCAACAAACGACAACCACTGAACATCAGGTTCCTGACTTTAATAACTATTTTGGGTTCAAGTAAAAAAAGGGTTGGAAAAATATTGTCCAACCAACCGTAACCAATTTTAGAATCATATTCAACTGAGACACTATGTTTTTTCTTTGGCTGTACTTGGCTTTTAAGAAAGTAATAGATGGAAAAAAAAAATGGCATAAAAAATTCAAGTTTAATTAGGGGTATGAGGGCTTTAATTTGGGAAAATGCATATTTTTGTCTCGCCTACGACGAAAGTCACAGAATGCAAGACATAGGGATTACTATCCAGTGTTGGCGGTGTAAACTATGTGTTTAAAGATTATATTCTAGAAGGGAGAAGACCTGGATGCTTCATATCTCAAATGCAGATACTTCATGTCTGGCCTGCGACGAAACGAGACATAGGGATTGCTTTCTGGCGACAACAACGGCTCTGGCTCCGGCCACAACAATTGTTAAGTTTTCTGCTTAAGTTAGTTTGATAGGAACTACTTGTGATAGATCATTGATATTTACTAGGAAGTTGCATTACTATCAGTACATATCAGTTTGTTACTATTTTGAGGCCCTGCTCCCTAGGACTTAGTCCAGTGACTTTGAATTAATTAGCAATTTTCAATGTTAAGTTTTCTGCTTAGGTTAGTTTGATAGGATCTACTGGTGATATATCAATGATATTTTGTATGAAATCGCAATACTATCAGTACATATCAGTTTGAAGACTATTTTGAGGCCCTGCCCCTAGGACATGGTCCAGTGACTTTGAATTAATAAGCAATTTTCAATGTTAAGTTTTCTGCTTAATTTAGTTTGATAGGATCTACTTGTGATATATCAATGATATTTTGTATGAAGTCGCATTACTATTAGTACATATCAGTTTGACGACTATTTTGAGGCCCTGCCCCCTAGAACATGGTCCAGTGACTTTGAAATATTTAACAATTTTCAATGTTAAGTTTTCTGCTTAAGTTAGTATGATAGGATCTACTTATGATAGATCAATGATATTTTGTATGAAGTTGCATTACTATCAGTACATATCAGTTTGACGACTATTTTGAGGCCATGTCCCCTAGGACATGGTCCAGTGACTTTGAATTAACTAGCAATTTTCAATGTTAAGTTTTTCTGCTTAAGTTATATTGATAGGAACTATTTACAATAAATGATATAAAGTTCTATAAAGCTTCATTACTGTCTGTACATCTCAGTTTGTCGACCATTTTCAGGCCCTGCCCACTAGAATGGTCCAGTGACTGAATTAATAAGCAATGTTGCTGTCCATCAGATTGTCTTTTTCTGAATTTTATGCTTATAGGTGAGACATATCTCTGTGTCAACAGTTTATTTGTAATGTGAATTTATCACTTATTATGAATAATAGAATAACTATATTTGGTATATGGGTTCCTTGCAAAGTCTACATGTCTGTCTGTCTGACAGGGTTCACCTGACCTCATTTCATGGATCAGTGATCAAGGTTAAAGTTTCGTGAATAGGTCAATTTTACAGATACTATAAGCAGTAGGTCAACTATGTTTGGAATGATTGTAATGGGTACATATCAGTCTGGCAGGTTTCATCTGACCTTGACCTGATTCTCATGGTTCGTTGGTCAATGTTAAGTTTTTGTGTTTTGGTCTATTTTTCAAATAATATAAGCAATAGGTTAACTATAGTTGGTGTATGGAATGAGTGTTATGTGTACATGTCTGTCTGGCAGGTATCATTTATCCTTGATCTCATGTTCATGGTTCATTGGCCAATGTTAAATTTCTGTTGTTTGGTACTCTTCTCAGATACTAAAACTTATAGGTGAACTATATTTCATGTATCATTATGGAATGATTGTAGGGTTTACATGTCTGTCTGGCATGGTTCATCTGACCTTGACCTCATTTTCATGGTTCATTGGTCAATATTTAGTTTTCCTGGTTAAGCCTGTTTCTTAGATATAATAATCAATAGGTAAACTATATTTGGTGCATGGAATGATTGTAAGGTGTACATGTCTGTCTGTAATGTATCATCTGACCATGACCTCATTTTCATGGTTCATTGGTCAATGTTAAGTTTTCACAGTTTTGTTTGTTTTGTTTATACTATAAGCAAAAGGTCAAATATGTTTGGTGTATGGAATGATTTTAAGGTGTACTGGTATGTCTATTAGGGTTTATCTGGCCTTGACCTTATTGTCATCGATCATTGATAATATTAAGCTTATGTGATACTTGCAGTAAAACCTTTATTTATAAGACTTTCAACATTAAATCAATCATGATCCGTACAGCAGCCGAGACATTTCAGCATGTGCTCTCTGAATGTTTCAATCATAAATATATGTATCTAGTGTTATTAAAGAGAAATCATAATAACTATTAATGTTTATACTTACTGGAATTTACTGTTATCATTCATTGACAGGAACATGATGATGCATGCTTATTTTGTGTGTAATTTATTTCAGGTTAATATCAATTGGCAAATATTTAAAAAGTCATCATGTTTAAGAGGCTTGAATGAATTAATGATACAACCATGGATATTTTTGACAGTATAATTTTATCTGGATGTCTGTCACAAGTTTAGTTTCCAGATGATAATTTAAGTACCGCTTGACTGAAATATTTTGATATTTGGAACAATGTCATGGACCCCAAAATACAGGTCAAGTTCCATCCTGATGATTTTGACATGTACTGTTTAAGATTTATTGTTTTCTCTGATCTAGTGATCACTTTAGTTTTTAATGGTTGAGGCATAGTAGTATGAACTGTTAAATATAGTAATGTGTATGATACCTTTTTATTAATCTTGTGAACATGTATGGAGACTGATATGCTGGTCATGCACACATTTTGTTATTTTGATATTGTGCTGAAATCTGTGATGGCCCCTTTTCTAACAAAACAACTGATGATAACATTCAAAAATACATGAACAGTAGCTTCTTGGAAGTTACTTCAAAAACTGGTAATATTATGCATAGGCGGATCCAGGGGGCCTTGGGGGGCCTTTTGTGGGAAAATTTGGTTGATTATATAGGAAATCACTAAAGCGGGCCCCCTCTTATGGCAGTCAGTGCCCCCCCCCCCCCCTTAAGAAAAGTTCTGGATCCGCCACTGTTATGCATAGAAGATCAAATGATGGTCCGTCCTACAGGTAAAGAAAATTGTTTATGGAATATAAATAAATGTACATGTAAGCAACTGCTTCTTAAAATATGATTCAAAAACCAGAGTTACCATAGTATTCTACAAGGAAAAGAATATGTATAAAAAGAATATTCATGGTGCTGATCTTCATTCCAAGATTACTGCCACAATAAGACAAGGGATTACAGTGGCGTAGCTACCATTGACGCAACGACGCAGTGTCCGATAGTTTAAAAATAATTAATGTGATAAGGATTATTTTTGTCAATACTGATAAAAAGTTCAACAATCACATGGGGTTCCATACATTAAATATATTGTTAAAATTTAAAATCTGTCAAGGACCCAATTTATCGGTTTCAATTAGTAAATGTTGTAGTTTATGTAAAATAGAATGCAGGGGTCATATAGTTATAAATTTACTAACGGATATAATATTTAGCTATTTCTCTCTAAATTATTTCTATTCTCATGACCGACAGTATCCAGCTTTGTACAAGATCTTATAAAGTTCCAAGAGTTAAAAATGAATGTTCATTATATTTACTGTAGTAATTCCGCTCTCTTGATATGAAATGCATATACCCAGTCTTTGCATATTCTTTCTATAGCAATTACGTGAGTCACAGGTATGCGACGTTTGCTGGAACAGTCGACATGTAATTGAAGCAGATCGTCTTCAGATTCAACGATGTAGTTGTAGTTAATATGTAGTTTAGCCATCAGATGTTTAAGTCTGGTGTACTGGATTTTTCTCACTGATTTGAGGCTTATGCAATTAACAAGAAAGTGCTTGTTCCATACACAATTTGCAGATTTTGTTGAGTCAAAGCGGTTGTTAATGCTTTGAGTTTTATATGTCCCAGTCAATATTCTGGATTTTATTATTAGTCCCCTACCGACGAAGTCGAAGGGGACTTTAGGTTTGCACTCTGTCCGTCTGTCTGTCTGTCCATCCGTCAGTCCGGCAAATCAGTTTTCCACACTTTTTTTCTTCGTGCTTGAAGTTATTGATTTGAATTTTGGTATATAGTTTTATCATGACAAGTCACAAATCAAGTTCGAATTATGTTCTGGTCTGATGATTTTGAGTTATGGTCCTTGGACTTAGAAAATTCACTCAAATAATCAGTTTTCCGCACTTTTTTTTTGTCATGCTTGAAAATATTGATTTAATAATTGGTATATAGTTTTATATTGACAAGTTACAGATCAAGTTCGAATTTTGTTCCGGTCTGATGATTTTATGCAGAGTTATGGTCCTTGGACATTAGAAAATTCACTCAAATAATCAATTTTCCACATTTTTTTTCGTCATGCATGCTTGAAGATATTGACTTGATATTTGTTATATATTTTACACCATGACAAGTTTTAGATCAAGTTAGCATTTTGTTTCAGTACAATGAATTCTTAACCGGTAGGGCACTATGTATTGCCATGCAATACTCTCAGAATGCTTTTTCCTTTAGCAACATTTCGCTTGTTGTCTCTGACACTGCTCCAACATGTATTAGGTTTTATGAAGTTCCAATTGCTTACTTCCATGTGATTCAGTGATGTTTTGGTTTTAGCTAATCAGACCATTTTATTTTCCATGTTGAATCTATCATATCATGAAGTTTTTTTCCAGTTTTTCCTTGGATTTAAGATTATCTCATGTGCATATGGTGGTTCATACGACTTGAGAATATTGTCTACTTTTATATACCAACTGTTGGAGTTACCATCTTTTGTTGCTAATTGTCTTATTCCTATTTTATGTTCAATTGAATTTGTATCTTTTGAAATTCTAAGGAGCAAGGAAATCATTGCTTTGTGGATAAGTTGTTCTACAGATTCTGCCCCAAGCAAAATATATATTGCAGCATCTACAGTCCGTTGTGGTAGAGACAGTAGTTGTTTAAATGTCTTTTTCTGAAAGTTTCTAGTTTTAAAATGTCGGTAATTAAAAGAGCAATATTTATTGTGGAGGCACCTTTTGTAAAACCTTTTTGTGGTCTATTTTGTTGTTTGTTTAAAGTGCCTTCAATCCTAGCTCTCAAGCAGCGTTCTAAAACTTTACAAATGATCGAGATGACCGTTATTCCTCTATAATTTGATGGTATTGTTGGGTCCTTGTCTTTTTGATGGACTGGAGTTAGAAGTCCCTTTTTAATAGCATCAGGCACATGTTGGTTCTGCACAGCAATTTTTTTTAAATAGAATCCTCTGTGCGACGAACATTACTTTCTATTATAGAATGACCTTTTCAAAGCACATAATTTTCACACAACAATGATCTGTGCAGTGCAAATCATATAAGCACTAACAGAACAAGCCGGTAAATTTACTGGCTTGAACAAATCCTAACCTGGTACAGATAAATATTTAAAATATGAAACGACTCGTATTTAATTTACGTCCATTATAATACAGAGGGAACAAATGTTAAAGACAGGCGGAATATACCAAAGGGACATTCAAACTCATAAGTCGAAAATAAACTGACAACGCCAATGAAAAAACGAAATCTATTCACCTTTATATCTTTACAATATAAGACATTATCGAAGTTGTTGCCCATGAAATGCCCATTTTAGCAATTATATTTTTGGGGTCTATAACCTTGAAAACTGCAATGCGGCAATTGATGGAAAGAACATTAACAATGAACTTTATCATCAACAAGACAAGATCTACAAATAAATCAACATGGTCAAAATCGTCAGTAGTTTTTCCCATTAAGTGAAGCTTTTTACAATTTTTTCGTGTTTTGGACTATAATCTTGAAATCTGCAATAAAGATAAATAATAAAGCTAAACCAACAAAATCAATCATGTAGCCAAGATCTACAAATACGTCGGACGGCAGAAATCGCTTGTCCACTCCCGAAGTTATAGGAAATTGACTTTCAATGATTTTTACCATTTTTTTTTGCGGCTTTAGCGAAAAACTAGTAAATAAAGATATGACTGTTTTCAAACTAATGAACTCAGATTTATCAATGAATATTTGTATTTTTCTTTAACGTCATTTCCGGAAATATTATTCATCCATCACCATAATTTTAAGTTTATTTGACTAACACACCAATGCGAAGGTGAAACCGAGGAAGAGAAGCATCTACAACAACAACCAACAGGAAAGAATAACAGACATGGTTGTCTAAGACAAAATTATTAGTTATACCAAGTTGTCATCGAATTCGACTCTTCGTCAATTTTTACTACAGGTTCCACATGTCACAAAGAGAACAGAAACTCCTTACCCTTCCGGAGTACCTAATTTTTGGTTGGGAATTAGCGTTGCTTAACTTTAGGTTGTTTGACTTTTGATATTTTCTTTGCTTCAGCAATGTATATTTATGAGCTCTTAACGCTATATATAATTTTACTTTTTAAAATTGTTTATATAAAGCAGTGAAGATATATATATTTAAAATTGTGACAAGCATTTTCAACATCAAATGAATCAAAATACTGATCATACTCAGTGGCGGATCCAGAGGGGGGTCTGGGGGTTGGAACCCCCTTTTTTTTGACGATCAATGCATTTGACTGGGGACATATAGTTGGAACCCCCCCCCTTTTTATCCTGGGTTGGGAACCCCCTTTTAAAAATGGCTGGATCCGCCCCTGATACTAGGTCATACTACCATCGATTAGCGAGGTCATGAACTTATTTGTGTTTCTATGATATAAATAAAATATTAGTTCGGTAATGCATTTGGGTGGATTTGTGATTAAATGTCATTCATTCATTTACTACATAGCACATGTTTTGTCTAAATAATAGGAAATACGTGGTAAATATTGATAATATCGTACATGCCGTAGAATCATTCAAAGTTATGCAAGTGTTTTAATCTAGGTTTTTATCAGTTACTCAACAAATTAACGTATTAGATTGAAGTACAACCTTTGAATAAGGAGTTTATCTAATAGATTTGTTTAACAGTTCATTGATTATAATTATCAACATCTTATGACCTTCATTGCTGTCTTGATGAATGTTTTTAAAGTGCTATAAATAGTGTCGTTCATTTCCCGATACATTCCAGCATCAGCAACTGACCAAGATCATGGCTTCAAACAACAAACGGATAATTGTGATCGGAATTGATAACAGTGAGTTTGCAGAAAAATCTTTTGATTGTAAGTATGTTGACATGTTTTAAACTTGTTTAAAATAAATAATTCAGCAACATCACGTGGAAAGCTAGTCCAAATAATTATGACGTCTAGAAAGGCTATTTTTGATTTTCAAATTTTTTTTTATCAAAAAGCCATATAAAACGTCGTAATGAAAGCCATCTTCCATGGTTACTATCGTGGCAATCTGTTACAACACACGAGTTTGAAATTTTATCAATACATGCCAATGAATTTTAGATCACTATGTTGTCCAAAATCCTGTAGCCACCTCAGTCTTGGGACTATATTTCGTACAGGCCGAAAAATATCTGGCTCCTGTTGTTATCACTCAAGATAATGGATCTGATTCTGGCACAGGCGCTTGGGTTTTTTTTTTTTATTTTTTTTTTTTTTTGTTTCTTGTTTTAATTTTTCACTTATTTTCACTTATTTAATGTGTTCTTGCTCTTATCCATACGATGTTACAATAACACTAGTTTATAAAATGTTGACCCTAGATCTATTATCATTTTGATATTGTAATATCGTATTGGTAAGAGGAAGAGCAAGAACACATTAAATAAGTTAAAAAAATACAGAATATTTAAAAAAAAAAAACAACAATAAAATAAAAAAAAAAAAAGGTAAAATAACAAAAATATCGAACTCCAAGGAAAATCCTAAACGGAAAGTCCCTTATCAAATGGCAAAATCAAAAGCTCAAACACATCAAACGAATGGAAAACAACTGTCATATTCCTGACTTGGTACAGGCATTTCCTTATGTAGAAAATGGATTATGGGTTACAAATAATGAGGGGGATGACACGCTTTGGGGGTGTGGGATATAGGGCTTTAAAAAAGTGGGATGTGATATAGGGGGTAAAAAAGTGGGATGTGAGATATATGGCTTTAAAAAAGTGGGATGTGAGAGATAGGGGTAAAAAAGTGGGGATGTGGGAAAATGAAAAAAGAGGGAAGCGGGTAAAAAATCGGAATTTGTTAAATGAGCAACCCCCCTCAAAAATGAAGTACGACATGTGCGACATTTTAAACAGTCGAAAATCAGTTACTTTGATAGTATGACTAGCCATATGACTAACCTGCTTGCCACGGACTAATACGATACATGTAATCTGATCCCTATATAAATACGGGCTGAATGTTAAATGAGAGGTTTTGAGATATGAAAATGTGTGCGAATCTGTATTATTTTCTTCAGTTGTCATGATTATTTGATTGTTCTGCATTAGTCCTGTGATTTGGATCAATAACAGTTTATAGTTTTATTGTTTATAATAACCGATTTTCTACAGTGTTCCATCATATCCATACTAAGTGTTGTGTATGTCATTTGTGGTCTTATTTTATAACGAAAATTCATAAGAACGTCAAACTATTACATCAGTAGTTTAGCCAGACATAATGGAAGTGAACGATCCACATTTGGAAAAAAAATGGGGGAAGGGTCTTTGGGTTTTATATTAATTGGTTGGGTTTTTTTTTTGGTGTGTGCTTTGTGTCGATCTGACTGATGAGAGAAGCAGAGTTTTGCATTTTTAGAGTGTTCTTACATGTATATTGAACTGTTACACCATTGACCAACATTTTTAAACCCTCCACATTGTTTATGTGCCTGTCCCAAGTCAGGAGCCTGTAATTCAATGGTCATCGTTGGATGCTGTCAGTTATATTTGTTTTTCGTTTATTGTTTTGTAATAAGTCACGCCGTTGATTTGTTCGTTGGAATTGTTTTACATTTTGTCATGTCGTGGCTTTTTATATATGACTACAGTATATGGTATTGGTTTTGTTCATTGTTGAGGGCCATACGGTGAACTATAATTGCTAAAATCCACGTTATTTGGACTCTGTTGGGTAGGGTATCATTGGCAATCATACCACACCATCTTATTTATATTAATATTGGTTTTTCATATAAACATTGTTTGGTACTTTACGCCATTGCGCTAAACTGAAATGGACCAAGAAAGAAAATGAGAGACACACATTCTTTAAAAATATTTCTTATTAAAAATATTATTTGTAATACGAAATCTTTTTAAAGAAGGTTTGTTTCCCAAATCTTTATGTTTCAATTCCCGAAAGAAGAAGTTATATACAAGATTATACACGTTATTTTTTACTGGGAGTTATAATCCCAGCACGAACACAACCAGGCAACATGCCAGATCTAGATAATTGTTTTAATAGTGATAATTCGACATACATTTTATTGACATGTGATGGAAGTAAAATAAACACCCTCAGTTTTGTTTTACCATATTTATGAAAAGGAGCATTCGTAAACATAATAAACGAGAAGGCATAGGACATCAACAGTTACAAGATAATAAAAGGATATGCATATGTAGCAAGGAAATACTTCATAATATTTTTCAACAGTTATCTGCATGTATAACACCAGTACAAGCAAACGACTGAATTAATTTCTGATACATGTATATATGCGCATAAACAAATTATTATCAAAGGTAGTAAATACAACAAAAGTAGATGGGAGTGGTGATGTTTTAATTGATGAAAATCTACCACATCACTTTTGGGATGGAAGGAAATATTGTTATTTTATACAATAACAAAAATTAATATTTCAAAATTAAGATAATCGTTGCTTGTAATCGTTAAGTCAGTCATCAGTTTGAGATGGTAGCCGGACTTTGCTGATTGATTGATTGGTGTTTGCTTTTTTGAGAAAATCACATTACAAAGTATTACACAATATTTCAAATTTTCTTAAATATATGTACTTTTTAATTTACTGGTTTTTTGGGGAAAAAGTTGTTTTACACAATCGAATCCCTACAGTACAGTCACTACAGAAAAAAAATGAACACGATCTTTTCTTGATAATTGGCATCGACTCTTCTGAAACTACAAAATGGCCAATGACCGTACTGGTTGACCTAAAACTTTCATACTTGGTAGGATTATTTGTCTTCATATCCTCATGACCATACTATACTGTCATTTTAATGAGACATTGTTTGCAGGAGTAGTGAAACTTTGACAGTTTTTTTAGACTATCGTACCACAAGGACACCTTTGGTCGCAGCTCTGCTTTGGCCGTTTGCCACATAGCTTTCATACTTGGTAGGAAGTTGTTGATTATCATGTTTAATTGACTTTAAGTTGTACTGTCATTATGATTTGACAAGTTTAGTAGGAAAAACTGGACTTCGACCATTTTTACTGTGACTTGACTAAGTTTGCTCTCCACCTATTGCAGTTTATTCAAAATTCTGACCAAATTGCAATTTGTTTATTCAAACCAAACTGTCGAACTGGTCAGAAATTTTAACAAACTGCTGTAGAAAATCACAGTCAAGTCGTGAAAGTGCAAGGACGTGATTAAATAAAGCAGACTTACAATCCTATTAGACTTTAATTCCACTTCATTGATATTATGTAAATGTTTACAAGAATTTCTATACATTCTTTTATTAAGATTAGGTCAGAATTTTAGCAATAGGTGGAGTGCAAAATTTATAGTCAAATTACAGTAATATTGTAACAGAATAACACCTTGTGAACGCAACTTATTTGAGAATTTTTGTAAGAAAAGTTATATATACTTACTTACTTACTTACTTACTAATTAATCCTCTTCGTGCGTACTTCCACATGAGGTCACTACCAACGCCCGCCACTGTTGCCTGTCTTGTGCCTTTCTTTCTGCCTCTCCGCATGTCATTCCCATGATTCTCAGTTCACTCTCTATTGTGCGTCGCCATGTTTCTTTCGGTCTCCCTCTCTTTCTTTTCCCCTCTGCAGGTGTCCATCGAACAGCTATCTTTGTTATGTCATGTTTGTCTTTTCTTAGAACATGGCCAATCCATTTCCATCGCCTTTCTTTAATTTCTGCTCTGATGTCTATTTGTAAGGCTAGGTTGTATAGGTCTTTATTACTTATGGTTTTTGGCCAGAAAATCTTGCAAATTTTACGAAGACACGTATTATGGAATGATGACAGTTTGTTGAAGTAAACTTTTATAACCCTCCATGACTCTGCACCATATAGCAAAACTGATTTCACATTGCTATTATAGGTTTCGATTTTTGTGGACCTGGATATTGGCTTTGCTGATCCTTGCCATTATATCTTTGCTAGTTCCGTTGTCCTGGCTGATATAAGTACCAAGACAGGTAAAATTTTCCACTTCTTCTATGTTTTCTCCTTTAAGTGTTATTGGTTGTTTTCTAGTTTTGTCATTTAGCCTTATTATCTTTGTCTTTTGTGTATTTATCTTTAAACCTACAGATAAAACAGTCTCATGTATAGTCTTGATGTTTTGTTCTGCATGTTTGTTGATTTGTTGATAATAGGCATATGTCGTCTTCAAAATCTAGGTCTTCTAAGATTGTGTTCATCGACTATCTTATTCCAGTTGTTCTATTGCCAAGTGTTCTTCTCATGCACCAGTCGATGACAATGAGGAAAAGAAGGGTGGATTGGGTTTCATTGTGTAGGACACAGCATCTATAGTTGTTGTAAAATAATTTGATCATGTTAATTATTTTGTCAGGTATGCCGTATGTTCTCATTATTTCCCACATGCTGGCTCTGTCCAAGCTATCAACAATGATTATTGTGTAGTTGACCGTACTTTACCCTCATTTTGATTTTAAAATTTTGCGGCAGTTATGGGACTTTAATCATTTTATTTTACTATTGTTGCGCAATCACACTTTATAAACGGAATTCCTCTGAGACCGTTTGGCAGAAAGTTTTCAAAATTTGTAGAATTGTTTGTCTTCATGTGAAGTTAACCATACTAATGTCAATTTGATTTGACAATTCTTTGCGTGTGTATGGGACTTTGAGCATTTCTTCTATATTATTGTAACACAATAACATCTTGTGAAGTGAGTTATTGGTGAATCATTGGTCTTTGATAAACAAATTATTATTGTAACACATTGTCTCTTTTTGAACGCAATTCCTCTTAAGACTGTTTGCCCAAAATCTTGTAGATTCAGTTTGTCATCTTGTTTAGTTGGTCATACTTTACCGGCGTCATTTTGATTTGACATTTTCTGCTGGGGTTAGACTATCCTCGGCCTATCGCAGCATATTCACAGTTCACATGAGCGTGGGATATTTTGCTACGGTGTAGCAATCTCACTAACGTCTGTAAGCATTATTGTTCTTATTTATACTTTACTCACGCCAAGTTTGCAACTAGTCAATATAGGAATTATATAGTGAAAGATATGAATGAATAATGAAAAATATGAAATATGTTCAAAAACATTTCAACAACAACACACAATATACAAATTAAAATTTAATTAAAAAAACCAAAGAGTTCTAAAAAAGCATTAACGTAACTAAATCGCCATCAATCTATTTTTATTTATTTACGTATAATACGTGTCTCTCTCCCGATCTGTTTTCTCGAGAGTGGTTTCTTTTCATGTTTTATTTTGCAACTTTTGATTCATCTTGAAACTGTGTTTTGATATTTATTAAATTCATAATAATTAATGTTGCAATTTTTACATTTCTTCGATGGTTTCCTGTTCAAATCTCATGATATATTGGTTTTTGTTTTTGCATGGTTGATAGTTTTCAAATTTTTGTGCGATTGTTATTTAAAAATGGTTTTGCTGGTTTTTGTATTTTTCCAACTTTTTAATGGGTTTCCTTGAGAAACGAACTTGCGAAACATTACGGCGAACATTAATATTGAATTTACAGTTTAAATACATGTAATTTTATTCAATCACGTAGAAGCAATAAAATAAAATATGTGTTGATAAACTTTTATTCACGACATCCGCACATTCAAGTCATGTTAGGAAATCAGAGTTCATTGACTATTGGCTAATAACATTTTCATACACCATCAAATACACGTCAAAATCTGAATTGCTTTATGACATTTCAAGCCTTAGCCAAATTATTCTGTTGTTAACATTTTTACGTCATGTCATCCATTGTAATTGCCAACATGTTTTTCTTTCTTCAATAAGGACAAATCTATATTGATACTGAAGAGTTTATAATCGACAAAAATTTTAAATCCAATTTAGAAAACGATTAAATGGAGTGAGCTGTAACTTCAAAAAATGGATTTTGTTGTAAATCCAAATATAATATTACGTTAAAGCGGTATTTTATCATGATAGAATTGTGCATTGTGTTAAATAACAAAGAGATATAGAGAGAGATCCACGTTATATGAAGTAAGCTGCCCAGCTGAATTAACACAGATTTGCATTGCCAGATCTTTCATATAACACACACGTTCTGCCTTAGAAACGGTAATAAATAATAGGTATGTGAAAAGTCAGTAGAGAAAATAAGTCCTTTAAAACCAAGATGAAACTTTACATTAACCCTTATATCTGTATATGTATGTCAGATTTTTTTTGTCTTGCAAATAAAGAATCTTCAGTTTGAACATATATGAGAAAACACTGTTTACTGTACACTTCCCTGTTCGTTTTAATAAATGAAGATCTTCGAACATGTATAGCATCAGGTATCGGGTCATATTTTAATAGTTGTCAGAGACGGACAAATTCAAAGACGTGAAATTTCTTTAAACACAACATAGGGTGAAATGCAAAAAAAAAATGGAATAGTTTGAAAACCATAATTGATGGAGAAAATCTAAAAATGAGAAAAATGCCAAGATCTACCAACTTTTTAGCTCCCCCAAAATTAACAGACTCATCTGTATAGAAGAGTTGTTCACACTAGAGGAGCAGGATCTGCTTACCCTTCCAGAGCACATGAGATCACACTAGTATTTGGTGGGGTTTTTGTTGCTCAATCTTTAGTTTTCTATGTTGTGTTTTGCATATTGTTGTTTGTCTTTTCGTCGTTTTTGTTTTTTTGTCATGGAATTGTCAGTTTATTTTCGACTAATGAGTTTAAATATCCCTTTGATATCATTCGCCTCTCTTTTGTTGTTTATTTTACCTATATTTTGCGTCTTTACCCATTCTGCTGGACATTTTTACCAAACAATGATGTTTTTACTATATTTTTCAAGACGTAAGGGACTGCTTTCTGACACTACATTACTTGGTCCACACTCACTCTTGTCAACATGTTAAAATAAGTGCAGCGATCGTATCATGCGCTTTGCAAAATCCTTGATTATTCTTTTCTGAAAACTAACCGGTTACACGTATGTGGAATGGAGTTATTTCTAAGAGGACAATGCATGTAGTTGATAGTATTAATTTGTCTTTACGGTGTCAGTCGAGGATTTGGTAGTATATGTTTTTTTAGCTTTTTGTTTTTTTTGGTGTTACATATATGAATTTCGTTTTTAGGGTATGCTGACAATATCAGAAAACCAGATGATGAGGTTATTTTAGTGCATTGCCCTGAAACATATGACTTCACTATGGCAAGTAAGTATATTTATAGTTAAATTAATGTCACAAGATTCCCTTTGACAATTACCAGATTTGCTGATAATCGCTGGCTCAAGCATATGACCAAGTCTAACATCTTACGGTGTCGATCACTCGATCTAAAATTTGCACTTTTTTGACACGCCGGAGAAATATTTTAATCAATTTTTTGTCCGTTAATTTGAAATCTTATATGAAATTTTAAACCTAGTACAGTACTGTACATGATTAGGAAAAATACCCAGACCTGGTACAAAGATTAAACTCCGGAACTGCAAAACGCCAGTTTTCTAATCGCCGCAGTCCTGAGCTGCAAAAGTGAAAATTGTTGATATCGAACATGACCTCAATTTTGTCATTTGAATTTGAAAAGCATTGTTTGAATAGTTCTCAAGTTATTGCACGGAAACGACATAAAGTGCAATTTCGCAATCATTATAGGTTCATAACTCAAGACCTACAAAAGCGAAAATCATCAAAATCGAACCTGACCTCCATTTTGTCATCAGTAACAACATATCATCCGAGTAAAATTTGAAAAGCACTTGTTGAACGGTCTCAAGTTATTGCTTAGAGACAGCGTGAGTCGACCACCCGCCCGTCGTATACTATCCCAAACTAATCACCAGAACGGTGAAAACTGCATCAACAAATGATTGAAGAATTCTTAATACAAGTTTTGAAAAGGTAGTCCTTGGGATAAGGTTCGAACAAGAAGATGAGGTGACAAGATTTAAAAGAAGGATATTGGTGATTAGGTAATCAATCTAGACGGACAAACCCATAAATATTTCCCGAAACTTCATTCGAAATTACACGAATAACAAGAAAATTAATAACTCATAAACAAACTAAAGTAAACTAGTACTGTTCATCCCAAAGCACTGACATATAACCCTTTGAGAGATATTCCTCTAGTACATGTAGTATATGCTACAATTCTGTAAAATATAGGCACCTTAGAATATGTCCATCCCTCTTTCTTCTACAAACATTTCTCTATCCATAATTCACTGCTGACGGTCTTTGAACCAATGACATATATTACATGTACCTTATTTTTCTGCCGAAACGCATCATTTTGGAGAAAGAAAGATTCATCTGACACATTTTCTTAATATCTTGAATTAGGTCCAGGTGTTGTGAAACAGTTGTTAGAGGAACTGGAAAAAGCAGTTAAAACTATCGAAGATAAATACAGAGCCAAAGCAAAAGGGAAAAATGTAAGTACCACCATGTTCCCGTTCGCGTCCTTTGGTCTTAGTGAGTATATATTATATACAATTGGCCATAATGATGCATATATTTTTAAGCATGACAATAGTTTTCAGATTGCTTTAAATGAGATAGAGTGAATGGTTTTGAACAAAAAAGTTCTATTTATTTCAAAGATGCTTATGAGAACTATTGCCACCATTTGCATGGCGTCTGTCGCTGTTGTATTTTTTTTTTACATTTTTCAATCATCACACCTGAAATTAACCAAACCTATGTATATATATTTAAAAGTATGTACAGAAATTATTTTTCAAACTTGATATAAACGATGATTTGGAGATCCTTTACAATGAGCTATTAAAATACAAGAAAAACGTGTATCTTTTTCGTTTCATTCCAAAGTACAATATTTGACGTCAAACTCGCACACAATTATGAGGAAAGAAAGATAATCCCAATTTATAATTAAGATCTTTTGGTGTCTAGTGTTACTTTTGTAATCTGTTTCATAGCTAGATTTGGTGTGTTGTCTCGTTGAGTTGCTGTCCTATTGTCTTGTTGGCGTTTGTTTATTTATAATATGTTGTTCCAGAGTTCTCGAAATTTGTCCCTCTGATGATCCATGCAGAAAATATGCTGTTCCTCACTATTATTTCTATTGCAAAATACCAATATTGTGGTGGTCAAAACATTCGAACCACCGCTTTTCGAGTTCTTACTCTGTGGTTCACTTATGCACTTCTATGATTTGTAAAGACGAACTGTAACACAATAGTCAATGCATTTTAGATATATCAACCCTCTGTAAAAATGGGGTTGAAGATGAATAACATTTTGCTTTAAAATGTCAAATTTTAGAAAAACGTAGGCAAAAACTTTTTCAGGAAGTAGAGAGTATAGTTCCATCTTTCAACAAAGTGTCTGATGAGGAAAAATTTACATTTATGTTTCCATTTAATGAGTATGACATAAAAAAAAAGGCTATTTCAAGGAGTTAATGATTTATATGTACTAAGAAATAGCCTAGCTGACAAGAAAAACTAATTATGTAATACAAATGTGTGATTATTTTCTTTTTTTCATATATATTTGTTATGTTATGATATTTTATAACAATAGCATTAAGAATATTGTACTTTTACTTTCAAATTTGCAAAAGTATCACCTCCTCCAAAATATCTAAATATACGAGATACTTATATAATATGAATGTTGCTTAAATTTATATTGTATGTTTGTAAATATTGCCTTGGTAACAACCCAATATTTGGATTTTACACCAATAAAATGATTTGATTTGATTTGATTTATCCAGAAATGGAATAAGGCGTGTATTCCTAAAATAGTTTACATTTTTGGACTACCTATCAAGACCCATTTTAATTGGGACTATAATCAAATATGGCCCAATTCAAATTTTGTTTAAGTGGTTGCTTCAATTTAAATCAGAAGACTAATTTTTTTTCAGATTGATGGAAAATTTAGGACTGGTCAAGGGAAACCTGGTGAACTTCTTATACACATCGCAAAAGAGGAAAATGCCACCATGATTATAACGGGATCACGTGGTTTGGGGAAAATCCGCCGTACAATTTTGGGAAGTGTCAGTGACTATGTCATTCATCATTCACATGTACCAGTACTAGTATGTAAAGGCTAAAAGTAGGTCACTGCAAGTAACGCAGAAGAAACTGTATACTCATTTCATTAATATAAGGTTGTAATGTTCGCATTTTCGTCTTGAGATAATTTAATTTGTTTATCATTCAATAAAATTTGAATTCATTTAATTTGATTCTTCATGTTATAAATTTACTATTATTCAAGATGTCTCAATTTTCAATTTAAATACAGATCAAACACTATATGATTTTTATGCCCACTAGTTAGAGGGGCTTATAGTGTTAACCATGTTCGTCCTTACTATCTCCAAAAATTAAAAAAGTTGTCCGAACTTTTCCCCGTTATACCTGAAGATTTGGCACTGATTTTTGTACGTTAGTGCACAAGACTATGAAAGGTTTTGATGCCTTACCGTTATACCTGAAGATTTGGCACTGATTTTTGTACGTTAGTGCACAAGACTATGAAAGGTTTTGATGCCTTACCGTTATACCTGAAGATTTGGCACTGATTTTTGTACGTTAGTGCACAATACTATGAAAGGTTTTGATGCCTTACCGTTATACCTGAAGATTTGGCACTGATTTTTGTACGTTAGTGTACAAGACTATGAAAGGTTTTGATGCCTTACATATCGTTTCGTTTCATTTCGGTTGATCGACTTGTAGCAGAATTACGTCCCGTGGAATTTTATAAGGTCCGGTAAGGGCTAATTTTGGCCTAAAATTAGAATACATCTGATGAAAGATTTTTGACATTTTTTAAACACTTAAGTGTCTACTTCAGTCGATTCAATTAGTTTATGTAAAAGATTAGAACTGATTTGGTCATTAAAGACGCTCAAATTCAAGCTTAGATATGAAAAATCTATCAAATATGCTATTAAACGTCACTTTTCAGATGGTTTTTGTCAAATATGTAAGTGGCCGTATTCGTGTTCAGTCTCAACCTTTATATATGTTATGTATTATCATCAAATACAACATATATTGAAATATTAAAACTGAACACAAGGGCGGCCACTTCCATTTTAGACAAAAACCGTCTAAAAATTAGCACAAATGCTAAAATTGTGAAGATTTCAGTAATTTTGCATGCATTAATGATGCTAGTACCTGATTCATGTGTAGTGTATTGTCAATAACAGCCCATGTTTATGTAACAAAAGTATTCTTCTTTCCAATTAACAGCTAAGGTTTACATTTTTAATACATATTTGTAAAAATGCTATATTTTGGGGCCAACAAGGGGCCTTACCGGGTCTACTCCTTTCATGGTGATGGTACTTGTACCAACTTTTAATTTGTAATACCTGAAGGTCAGATCGACCGACATTTTACGGAATTACAAAAAAATAATCATGGACATTGTACTTGTCCGGACTCTTTTGTCATGCTTGCTGATCTGGAGCTGATTTTTTGATACATTAGTGCATATATGATGACCTACAGATCGAGTATGCTTTTCTTTCCGGTTGACCAAACTTTAATTCTCTTGCTTGGTCCTATCCTTGTCCGACAGATTTTTTGTTTGTAATATCTGCAGACCTGGAGCTGATTTTGGATACACCCATTTGTTTTATGTAACCCTACATGCACCTACAATTTATCTTTTTTTTTGGGGGGGGCGGGGGGGGGGGGGGTGTGTCGAGGGGGCATGATTGTGTTTCTCCGCAAAAACATTTTTTTTCTTCAATAAAAAGCTATTTTGACTCGGTCATGATATTTTGGGAGTCAAGCATCCATTATCGAAATATCAAAAGGGCTTTATCTATATACTTTCGGTTTGAATTGCGACAATTTGCAGTTAAATTTTCACACGATTTTTGTATAGGACCCTTACGAAAAGTAATATCTGGAAGGTCAAAGGTCTCACATCTAAAATTATTGAATTATTGTCATAGCAACATTAAAAGTTGTCTTTTATTCACTAAAAAATAAAGCGTTGGTACTGATACCACTTAGTTGGCGGTCTTACTGGTCTTACTTAATGAAAGTATCATGTAAAATTTCCTATGTATGAAGAATAAAACACAAATCTAGTTCCTACGTTAATCTATAAAGGTTGAGAGACCGCCTCGAGGTCTCGTGTTCGCCTATAGTGCGGGAGGTTGTGGGTTCGATCCCCGGCCGACTCATAGTAAAGACTAGAATATTGGTATCTGCTGCTTATCCGCTAAGCACACTCACTTATAGTCCTATGATTTAAGACTTCGTAGGTTCATATCATTTGCATTCAACATTTTTATCGGATATTTTTTTTCCTATCAATGCTGAACCACGAACCTACGAAGTCTTATATTATAGGACTAACTCACTTAGGGGTTAATGCAAAGACTTGTCGGCTCTGAGTCATACAATGTGTCCGGGTAGGGTGACCACAGGCACTTGTTTCTATCCATGGGAAGGTTGACTATCCATATGTAATGGATAGTCGACCTTCCGGTGACATGTCTTCCTACGGACTGTGAACTAGCACATAATAAATCAGTCTGAGCTTGCAGGGTTATTCGTATCACGATATCATGTTCTCGTCCTGAATGTGCATCTATAAATTTGCCACTGAACGTTAAACAGCCATCAATCTATATAGCTTTGTATTACATTAAGTATTAAAATATTCACACAACAAAATGTTACATACCAGAGAGTCTCTAATCTTAGATTTATTATTTGTTTATACTACCGGTATTAAATGTTCACTGTAATGTCACGGTTTCACCTGTCATTTCAAGGTTTTTTTTTAAAGGTTTACATTTTTTATGAATACACATGTTTCTAGCAGATCACCCACAACAAATCAAGTGTTTACAAGATGTATTTTTTAAAATGATTCCTAAAAAGTTTAATACTAGTGAACTACTGTGAAGGCGGCATATTTTTGTTGGCTTTTAAGTAATATCAGTGACCCGTAGAAACTCAGGTATAAGCTTTCAGTAGACCGAGGTTTGTGAATTTCACATAAACAGATAAAACCAGACATCTAGGAGGTTTAATAACATGGCGGAAACTGGAAAATTAGTTTTGATTTCTGTAGACGGAAGTAAACATGCGGATTATGCTCTTGAATGTGAGTATTTTGTATTTATTTGTAAACAATGAAGAATCTATTTTTATAGCACTTTAAAATAAACAACAACAAAAAACCATATAAGCGTTTAAGTAAACAAGCTGCAAAGAAAGTATTGATACGAAGACTTAACATCTAGGTCACACAAGTCATACTCATTTCCACTTCCTTACACATACTAAGTCAAACTTGTAGCAACAATCTAATATTATATGACATTAATTTTATTCACAATGTTTCACTCCGGTGGAATAATTACTTCATACAACGCTACTATATTTTCTGTGGTCACAATTAATGCCTGTGTTTATTTACAACGATTTCGGATGAAATGGGAAAGTGATAATCTACAGAGTCATTCTCCCGGGGTCATCTGTCATTGTTTTCTATGGCAGTCCAAATTTTCCGTCGTTTTTTCCTGTCGTCCCACTTTCAATTTAAACCTACCTTTTGTATTTCTATTCTTATAATATGTATGTATCCGTATGCCCCACAAAGGCTCCGAATTGGAAATAAAATATGTTTAATGTTTATTGTTAATGTATTTTATGTATTGCTAATATTTTTTCGTCTCGAATTAGCATGAAATAATTGCCACTGGACGTTAAGCAAGCAACAATCATTCAATCCTGAGGTCATCCTTTACACTATATTTGACGTTTGAAACTATATACATAAATATGTACATTTTGTGTAACGAGTTAGTGACTATGAATTCCTTTGCTGTATAACAAATTTATTTGGACTGAACAGCAAAAGGAAGAAGTATAAATATCTGAATGTTTACATTTAAATAAAGCATGTTAGACAGAGGCTGTCCAGAACCAGTTATGAATGACTATTTTTATTTTTACACGCAAAATACAATTCAAGTTCAAGGCAATCATTCGACATACTTGAGAGATCTTATTGAAAAGACAAAGCGGTCAAGGGATTTTAACATTCTATTTTTAAATTTTAGTTCAGATTAAAAACTAAGGGAGCTACCATTTGATTTTTATGGGGGGCTTGGATGAAAAATTGTTTCCTGCATTTTTTTTTAGTTGTAATCTCTTTCCTGCCTTTTTATTTTTTACTCTATTCGGTCCTGCATTTTTTTATTAGTTTATCCTGACTTTTTTTTACATAAATTGTCATCCTGCCTTTTTTTTTGCAAAGTTACTCATCCTGCCTCTTTTTTTACTCAAAACTCCTGTCCTGCCTTTTTTCAAATTTCATCCTAGCCCCCCCCCCCCCTAAAATCATATGGTAGCTCCCTAAGTATAATGGTATGACGTTATCGTCGTCTTCGTCATCGTCCGAAGCCATTTGCTTTCCAGACAATATCTTGAGTATATGTGTAACTTGGGGTTCTTTAATATGCTGAATCTAACCGTGTATTTGGATTTTGGATATTGGGCCCCGTTTTTGAAATGTTCACTTTGAGGTACAAAGGGTCCAAAATGTAACTTTGTTTGATTTCATCAAAAATTGAATTATTGGGGTTCTTTGATATGCCGAATCTAACCGTGTATTTAGAATTTTGATTTTGGGCCCTTTTCAAATTTGTCCACATTAAGTTCCAAAGTGTCCTAAATTAAACTTTGTTTGAATTCAACAAAAATTGTATAATTTGGGTTTTTTGATATGCTGAATCTAACCGTGTATTTATATTTTTGATTTAGGGTCCGGTTTTCAAATTGGTCCTCATTAAGATCCAAACTGTTCAAAATTAAACTTTGTTTAAATTCAACAAAAATTGAATTCTTAGGGTTCTTTAATATGCTGAATATAACCGTGTATTGAGATTTTTGATTTTAGTCCCGTTTTCAAATTGGTCCACCTTAAGGTGCAAATGGTCCAAAATTAAACTTTAGTTGAATTCAACAAAAGTTGAACTCTTGCAGTTCTTTGAAAAGCTGAATCTAACCGTGTATTTAGGTTTTTGATTTTGGGTCCGGTTTTCAAATTGGTCCACATTTAGGGTTAAAGGTCCAAAATTTAAATTTGTTTGAATTCAACAAAAATTGAATTGTTGCGGTTCTTTGATATGCTGAATCTAACTATATATCTACATTTTGGATATTGGACCATAATAGGTAAATGTCGAATTTCAAATTACACATTCATTCTGTGTCAGAAATTTATGTTCAAATATTTAATCACCATCCAAATTCAGAGCTGTATCAAGCATATATGTTGTGTCCATACTTGCCCCAACTGTTCAGGGTTCGACCTCTGATGTCGTATCAAGCTGCGCCATGTGGAGCATTTAATATTTTACATGTTAATACAAATATTTTCAATTAAAATAAAACACGATGATGCATTGTTCGATCTCGACTGAATAAAATGATATACAAACTTTATTGATATGTATATAGAGTATGCATTGCATAATTTAGTATTTGTTTATTTCAGTTTATTCAAAGCAAATTAAGGCACCTGGTGATAAACTGACACTACTACACATTCCACAAATGTACTCAATGAAGGACGCCAGTAAGTGTTGATGTGCTGTCCTTTTAGTTCACCTGAGTCTGTAACGCCATGTGAGCTATTCATATCACTTGGCGTCCGTCGTCGTAAATTTTTTTTCAAAAATCTTCTACTCTGAAACTACAAGACCAATTACTACTAAACTTCAATTGGCTGTAGGATACTACATGTAGTATAAAGTTTGTGTGTTTTGTCTTGTCCGTCAAGAAACCTGGCCTCCATGGATGACTTAAAATAGTAAAAGAGGGACGAAAGATACCGGAGGGACAGTCAAGCTCATTAGGTAAATTAGGATAAAATGCATTAATTGTCTTAATATATCACGAAAACTATAAAAGATAGAGAAAATCTAAGAACAGACGAACATTTTGAAAATGTCAAGATCTACCCTTTTTTTCTATTTTCACCCTAATTATCAGATGACTCCTCAGTTAAATGACATTTTTTTTTTGGGGGGGGGGGGGGGGGGAGGGGGCGGCTAATTTTCATGTATTTGCCTATTACCTCAAAGTTTATTAAATAGGTAAAACTGTTGATGTCAAAAATTACCAGCAATACAAGATCTACAAAAATCCCAATATGACTGAAACCATTGGATGTCTCGGTTACGATTTTATGATTTATTTTAGTTTTTTGCATAGTATCTCCAATAACTGTAATACATTCTTGTAGGTAGAAACTGTAACAGCAAAGATAATCAGAAATACAAGCTCTAAAAAAAATCTAGTACAACCGCAACAATTTGATGACTCATAATAATAGTAATAGTCTGTTATTCAAAAGCAATACAGCTTATAAAATTTACATATACAAATGTAATAGCATCAGTGATTAATTACATATGTGTTTTACAATTACAAACAGTTTGAATCAGTGAATCATCGGCGGAGAATGACAACAAATAAAATAAATGAATGAAATATGAGCATTATATTATGAATAACGAATCTTATGAGCTAAATAAAGGTATTTACCTAGATTGTTCAACTCTTTAATGTTATGAACAGACAATAATTGTACAAATTTATAAATTTATTTAAAGGAGTTATAGCCTAAAACGACAACTTTTGACTAAAAGTGTTATTTTCAACCACAATGGAATTTTTGTTAGAATAAAAACAATTGAAGCTTGTAAAAGGGTCTTTGATAGACACCAAACAATATTTTCTGTTCACATTTCAAGCTATCTTCCGCCGCTTATTATAAATGAACAGAATTAAGCAAGAGTATTTTTTTATCGATTACGAAAAATCAGGCACCATGATTTATTATGACCAGAAAATATTTGATAAAATAATACCTTTTCGAGCTGTTAAGTTAAGGAAATATGTTTATAAAAAGCATATTTTACCTCGAAATTATAAATAATATGGCTGTATACCATATTAACATTAAAAAAAACATGACTCTAATTCACCTATACAACCTCTCATACACATGTATATATGTAGTACTTTCATTAGATATCTTTAAATGATTTATTGTTTTCATAACTGAATTATTGATATCAATAGTAGTTAGCTTCATTTATTGATACCCTTAAATGAATAAAACCCTTAACGAATTATAATTAACTACAAGTCACTTTAGAACAATTATAAATAACTACAAGCTACTTTAGGCCTATCTTTAAATGATCCTCTTATGATATGAGCATATCCTTAAATGAATAAAAGGATGTACATAATTCAGCAAGAATTTGTCATATTTCCCTGAAATGATAAATGGGTATCACTGAATGAACTTTAGGAAAAAACAAGAATGATTTAAAAGTTATCCTTGAATCTGAATAAATGATTTCATTTTTTTTCCTTTAATAATATTCATAAAAAAATGCATTTGGGTTTATACTTAAATTTATTATTTAATGATATCCTTAAATGAGTAATGCATATTCTCAACTGCTTCATTTTATTCTATTCTAAAATTTATTGAAGTATATTTTTTATCATATAAGATTATTCTTAGTTCAATTGAATATAGGGTATCCTAAATTGTTTATTGAAATAAAATAATGATATCCTTATGGATATCCTTCATTCAATTCAATTAGGGATATCATATATTGATTTGCAGGGTATCTCTTTTTTAATTCATTGAAATCCATCAACTGTTTCCATAAGAATATCGTAAAATTATTAAATGATATCCATACTTGAAATCCATATTCCATAAATGATATTTTTTGATAAATGCAGAATATCAATTAATGTTATAATAGGCGAGTGACAATTTTCAAAAAGACGCTTAGTTAACGACTTTAATGCACCCACCTAACATACGGCTATATTATATACCATTCGAAAGCTTATTACCTGTACTTTCATTGTTGCACGGTCGTCAATAATTCGTACGGTGCAATTTTCGTTAAATCAAGGTCAAAGGTCTAAACTGAGCATTCCAAATGTTTGCTATAATTACACGAAATGCCATTTTCAGGTACTTGTATGACATTTTATTCCCTAAAATTGATCTAAACCTTATAAAACAAATTACCATGATTTCAAATCAAGTGCAAACTTAAATGTTGATTGCGCTATATTAACAAAAAATTGCATTTCTTGAAAAAACTTCCAAAAATGATAAAATTGAAATAAAATCTAAATGTTTTCTGAAATTTGAATATCTGTATGTCAAAAATAGAATAGATTTATTGTTTATGGACCGAGGGAATTTTTTCATCATTTTAAACTGCAATTAATATGATGTAGGTCCAGATGGAGCCTTCTAATGAAGCTTTTGTAGTTGCCCCAAAAAACACCATCTGCAAATGGGGATCATTTAGCTTTTTGTTTGCTAGATAATATTGCTAATATCGGAAGATAATGATCAACCATATTTAAAAAAAGGTTATGGAAGAACTTTAAGGAACAAAAGAAGTATATTTGGTAAAAATTAGTTTCCCGGTGTGGAAACACATGTTACAAAGATTATGCTCGTTCAATGTTCGAAAGAAAAACTCTGTACCATGCGCTTTTCATCGTCAAATTCGGCGAATTCCTTTTAATGTTAACCCATTATAAATTATAGATTAATTAAGATTGAATATCCTTCATGAACAACTGTAATCACCATACTGGTTTATGTATTGTTCACACAATTCGGTATAGTGTTTTAAGAAGATTTGTTTGTCTGTCCTACTTTTTCGCCATGGTCATGCTGTCATCTGTTTTTCTTCGACCATGGTTTGAGACTGCCTCCATATTATTTTATCCCTTCTTTCAATCAAAGAAAAGAAAACCATAAATTTCCAAGCTGAGCGAAAAAAGACAACAGAACTTAAAACTCAGATATTGATGCAAAAAATAAGTTCGTAAAACAACTTAAATTACCGAACTCCAAGTGAAATTTCAAAACAGAAAGTCTCTTATCACATATCAAAACCAAAAGCTGAAACACATCAAACGAGTTGTGATAGACCTCGTAGTTCTCTCTCCATCTCTATCTATCTTTATATGATATAGCGGAAATGTAGGAATCATCTTGTCCTTACGTCCTTTTTTCTTTTGTTCTTTCCATTCACATATCCATATGTTAGTCTCAAAATTGTAATGAGCAATATTCCTTCGACATTGCTTGGCAGAATTATGGAAGTTCAAAGTGCACATATGGAGGTTATAAGTGAAGAGATTTGTTTCATAATAGTCATTTCCAAATAGCGCTAAAATAGTAATCGCTTTAAATTTACCAGAACATACCTGCTTTCAAGCTATCTCATTAAGTTAACCCTAATCTTATTAAAATGTAGTTCTCTGATTTCGTTATTCTGATGCGATATATGAGCAGGCGAGTCGTGATTGATCTTAATTTTAGTCAGATTGTTTTAACCCATGTTTTTAACACTTATACATAACATTTTGTACGGTTTTTTTCATGTCAACTTATATCACTTATTAGTGTTGTGAGATCTTCGCACCATTAGAAACTTGAACCGAAAAATATGAAAATAAAGTGAGAAAATCGCAAAAAGTCGCTGTCAGATCAATAACAGAGGGCTCAGTGCACAATAAATATCCACGAACATAATTTAAGATCAGATGACATAAAACCAATTAAAAAAAACTGAATGAATTCAACCATAATTTTTTCATTTCTCACAATTGTATAGATATTTTCGAATAAAATAACTTCATTTTAACCATATGTATTCTTAATATACATGTACTGTCTTTAATATGCCAATGATCAACCAATGCTTAATAGATGATCTACTAAAATAGTAGATCGTGCTCTTTTTTTTAAATGCCTATAATGAAAATATTATGTGGCAAATCTACATTGAAATTTTAATGCAAAATCTTGGCCAATTAGATTTGAAATAAAAGTGGTTCAAATGCATTTTTATTTTTGTTTCTATTAAGAAACTTTACTTGTAACATTTAGCTGAAGTAAACATCAACATTAACTCTGCTGTGTTTTGTTAGAGGTTGCCTACTTTTACAAAAGGTGATCAATGCTGATTGGTATATTTGTGTTGTCACACCTACACAGTAACTTCGTCCTTGATACTAATAGCTATAACTAATGTATTGTTGATGGGGATTGCCAGTTTTCCTTCCGAAGGTCCGTGGTTCCTTGGGCATTCCATGGGCCTAAACCATTTAAAACTGATCGCCGCAAAATACTTTAGAAGCCAAAAGTGCTAAACCGAAAATTGCGTCAAACACCAACAATCAATCAATCATCTTTATATTAAAATGTATTTATATGTAAACTATTCAGGGAGTAAATTTGATTAATGGAAATGTATGAATTGTTATTGCGAATTGCTAGATTTCCCAATTCAAAAATGAATGTAAGTAAATATAATTGCGAGGGTCTCAATTCATTTACAAGAAATTACGTAGTTGGATGGGATTAAATATATTGGCCAGGCATGAAGAACATTTCAGTGGCTAGCTTATAATAGTTTTCACTTCCTCATTCAATGCAAGATGCAGTATAAGCAACCAAGAAAACATACAAATATTGAAATATTGAATTATCAAAGTTTCGCTCCCAAACTTTTCCCTAAATGCACGAATTTTCTGTGTATTCTATCCTTTAACATTTTTGCACTTTTAAAATTTGTGTTTTTCAACATAATATCGACTACATACAAATTGTTTTAACAAAGAACAGCTAAAAAAGCTATTTTCTTGCAGATGGCTGTATTTTGGGCAACTTCATGGTTGTTATAATTGGCTGTTTAATTAACAAGAAGCGTAATTGCAGTAATTTAATGATGTCAAAAACATCCTTAGCACCAAATAAAATATGTAATTTGGTTTTATGGTGAATAACAGTTGAATCACAGACATAAAATTTGATTTTCATGCATTTTTGTCATTTTCAATGGAATTTCTGAAAAACAGCGCTATTTATTAAAAATCCGACATTAATATTTCAAAGTGCTTTTGATAAATTACTATTAACATCTGTTTTAACAGATTTCCATATGTCCATACAAAATATCATTATTCAGAAGACAAAATATGCAAAAAATGCTGACTTCTTGTAAAATTAGAAGTTGTCCGTCCTTGACCTTTCGTTGTGATTTGACAGAAACTGCACCATACGAATTTTTGACGACCGGACAAAAAAGGTAGTGAAGATGATGTGCTTTCGAATGGTATATGATTTAGCCGTATGTTAGGTGGGTGCATTAAAAATAAAATTTTATGGTTAATGTCACTCGTCTATAAGGATGTCCATAATTGAGCATGATACCCTTAACTGATTAAGTGATAACGTTAAATGAATTAAGGACACAGTTTATGGCCAAGCTCAGCAAAGACCCGTCTAAATTATTCAACAACACTAACCGTTATCTTGATGATATTTTCTCGTTAAATAATCAAGAATTCTCTAAATATACTGCCGAAATTTACCCAAAGGAATTAACTTTAAATGAATCTGATATTAACAGCAATAACTGTCCTTTGCTAGATTTAGACATTTCAGTTTTACACGAGAAACTCTTTACAAAAATTTACAACAAAAGGAACGATTTTTCTTTCCCTATTGTTAATTTTCCTTTTTTGGAGAGTGATATTCCTTTGGCACCATCTCCCAAAAAAAAAAAGGTGATATTCCTTTGGCACCGTCTTACGGTGTTTATATATCACAACTCGTTTGCTATGCCCGTGTCTGTAATGACGTTTTGGATTTCAATGAGCGTAATTTATGTATTATTGGTAAATTATTAAGTCAGGGTTTTCGTTACCACAAATCACTTTACTAAATTCTTCCATAGATTCAAAGATTTGGTTTGCAAGTTTGGCTGTACAAATTTCAAACGGGATAGCACATCCTAATTTTTACGGGAATGTTGTTTGCCGACCCCTGAAATTTATATACGATCCGGGTAAACTTATCAAACCTTTAAATAAACTTATTCTGAAAGGTTACCAATTTAACTCTGCAATTAGATCTTTGAATATTGTTTTTATTGGAATAAATATTAATTTTGTTATAAGTAAATTAAAACCATACTGAATATTATTGTTATACACATATGCACATTCACGGTACTATAATCTGTCGATACCTATATTTTGGCATTGCACAAGGTCATGTTTTTCTTTGACTGTTAATGACGTCTTTATACTAAATTCATTGGATGTTGGATGGGTACTGATTGATATTTTAGTCTTAGATACATGCATTTTTTATTAGTTGTTATTGGCTTTGAACTAGCTGTCAGTAACTGCGAGTACTCTCAGATCTTTACTTGGTGTCTTTTTTGTTGTGTGATCTATAGATACACTGCCACGTCCGGTCTGTGTTTTCGTTAGATGTTTTCTGCTTTGTATCGATCTGGTGAGTTAAGCCCTTTTCAACTGATTTTTATAGTTTGTTCTTGTGTTGTTCTGTTACGCCACTGTCCAATGTTAAGGGGAGGGTTTGGCGCCAGCAAACTAGTTTATTCCCGCCACTATCTGTATGTGCCTGTCCCAAGTCAGGAGCCTGTAGTTCAGTGGTTGTCGTAAATTGTTTTGTTAAAATTAGGCCGTTAGTTTTCTCAATTAAATTGATTCATATTTTTCATATAGGGGCCTTTTATAGCCGACTATAAGGTATGGGTTTTTCTCATTGTTGAAGGCCGTACGGTTGTTTAAAATTGCTTACATACACTTCATTTGAACTTTGATGGATAGTTGTCTCATCGGCAATCATACCACATCTATTTATTTTTATACGAAGGCCATTAAACCATTTAGGATATCCGTCATCTATTTAAATTACGGATATTATAAAGAGATTAAAGGATATTCTAACATATTTTAAGATATCATTGAAAGCTTTCATTATTCTCTTAAATGATCTAGGGATATACTTATATATAGGATATATAGATATCATTGAATCCTTTGGTATTAATTGAATTTTATTTTAATGAATTAAGGATATTTAATCAATATATTAATGATATCCATAAATCTTTTAACACCTTTGGTATTAATTGAATTTTATTTTAATGAATTAAGGATATTAATCAATAAATTAATGATATCCATAAATCTTTTAACTCAAATGTCATCTTTAAATATTATATTTAATAGTATCCCCAGAGACATATAATACAATATGTATTATATGTCTCTGGTATCCCTCAACTCTTTGAAGGATATTCCTATTCGTTATCAGTATCTTTTAATCATTTAGTTATATCCTTAATTTGTGTTGATTGATGGACATCCTTAATTCAGTTCAATAAAAGTAAATATAAACAATCAAATAATTATGTTTTTAAAAGACGTTCCCTAATTTTTATGTCTCAACAATCCACCCTCGTCTAATATGTTTAATAGGGCGTATTGCATTTCCGCTAATTTTTCAAAGTTCCAATACTACGTTTCCGGAAACTTAAAGTATACGTTTCCAGAAATTGTATTTATTACTTTTCCGGAAATTTACCTGGTAATAAATTATTAATATTTGAATATATGTTAGCCTTCGGCTGTTGTATGCTCTATGGTCGGGTTGTTGTCTCTTTGACACATTCCCCATTTCCATCATCTCAATTTTATTTTAATTTTAGATAAATTATTTATTTCATATTTTTATACAAAAAAGGTTCTGATCTTATATCTACAATATACTAGATATAAAAAATGAAAGTGTCACCTTAGTGAAAGATGATGATGTCGGAATCGTTATATTTTTATGTTTCACCAACTTGAAATGTCTATGATCGTCTATGTAGTGAAAAAAAAAACTGATATGTTCACAGATGGCACAGTTAATTATTCGATACATGGGTGTAAAATGGTAACATTCCTCTTGTTTTTGCGTTACTTCCACTTTTTATCAAAATGTGGGATCTGCAAATTGATGTGTGCACCACCCGAAGACTAACTCTGCATCCCGAGGTAGATCATATTGACTTTGAATTGTCAATGCATACTGCTGTTACAAAAATTTCATGCTGTTACAATCAGTTACAATCAGTTGTTGCAGGTTTCATTTAGGACAAATTTCAAGGTACTGCTTAATTATTTTTTCGAAAAAGTAATAATTTATTTTTTTCGGAATCGTTACTATTTTTTCGGAAAAGTAAGGTATTTATTTTCGGAAAAGTAGACTTTTTTTTTGCGGAAACGTCATCTTTTTTTCCCGGAAAAGTAATGCCAATTTGCGGAAACGTAAAACGCCGGTTTAATAAACAGGGACCCATTGCCTTGGACAAAACTAACATTTTTCTTTGTTATCAAACTCATTTCGTTAATTAATTTAATCTTTTTGTCTTAGGTCCAGGTATTGTGCAAGATCTTATGAAGAGGATGAAGGCGGCGGCAGAAGAAATGAAGGCAAAATACCTTGCCAAAATGACTGAATTAGGAGTATGTACTTCGGTGATATTTTGAAAAAATGAATAATTGTTAAAACCGTACTGACGATATTACTCTAACAAATTATTTGAATTGATTTTTATTATGAGATAGAAACTCATTTTAAGATATCATAATGTTTAAAGAGGCATTAGTTACGAGATATAAAAAAAAATTAAAATATAATTGTTTTTGTTCAATCATTAATGAAAGTATTATAGTGAAATAATAATTCGGTTTTAGCAGCGAATTTGGTTCAGTTTTGTCAAAATAAGCGAAGAAACATCGCTGATGAATTATTCACTTGCAAGTGAATAATTCGACCTCATTGAATCCGTATTCATGTGACCTTCAAGTTAACCCCTTAACTGGAGATGGGTTGCGCATGTATTCAGCTATTAAAAGGAAAAGAATGTCAACATTGAAAGTGAAACAAGGATAAACCATTTGGTTGACTGATACGATCCACAAAAAAATATTCTTATACAGTTAAAAACGATGATAAACATACTTTTTAATCTACAATATGAAATCAAACAGACCTAGCTTCGGAGATCATCTCGATGGTTAATTTGGTGACGTCTAGACAAAAATACACACGAATTGTTGATACGTATTATCGAGTCCATGCATTGTTAATTGTTTTTTTAAGACTTCTTGTAATTTGGATGTACGTTTTAGTATGTTATAAATCAAATATGAGAATTTGAGTCTAATCGTTGAACATGAATTTGACAGCTAATGCCCCCTTGAAGGAGGTTAGTAATGTGTAAACTCGGCCGGCACGTTCACATTAGTGGTTAAGTTTGTGAGTGAATGGAGCTTTTTATGTGTAAACTCTGTCTACTCGGTGCCTCTATCACTTACTTTAAGTTTGTGAGTAAAAGGCCGAATTTAAACATCAATACGTTTGCCTAAAATTTTGATAGGGGACGACCGCAAAAAAAAAATAAATAAAAAAATAAGCATGCGTATCAGCAGATGAAAATATTTAATAAATCCAGAAAAAAATCCGCCTACCCCCTACCCCAGAATATTTAATGGTCGTCCTCTTAATAACGTACAATAAAATACCTTATAATCATGTCCAGATAAAAAAAAATCAGAACTCTTTACAAAACTATTTGGCCTGTGAAGGAATTCATGCTCATGTCGTCGAGGTTAATACGTGATCATACGTGTATTACATGTTCCATATTTAGTTGCCATGATGCTCATCAATAAATACGACTAAAAACTTGACTTATTAAAATTATTGTCATTTGAACACAAAAATACCATATCAATTCAAATACATACTTACATACAATGATGTAAAAGTAAATATAGCTCAACATGCAGACATCTTATACGTTCAGGTATTTCACATCCAATTTTTTATGGAAATATTCTTTATAAAGCACAAAAATGTCAGTATTCACCTCTGAAGCTAACAAAACCTTTAAATAGACTTATTAAGAAGGGATATAGTTACGATACTGTTGTCAGGTCATTAAAGATTGCATATTTTGGCGTTAATATTGATTCACTTATAGGGTCTTTGCATCGGCACTAAACACATTTATTTAAAAACCAGTTGTTGGCATGACACGGGTTATGTTCTTCTCATATATGTTATGATGGTATGATACTAAACCCCTAACGGGAAGGATTGTGCTTGATATTCATATGATGAAGACATAATCTTTCAATCAGTTTAATTGAAGTCTGGAGCTGGCATGTCAGTTAACTGCTAGTAGTCTGTTGTTATTTATGTATTATTGTCATTTTGTTTATTTTCTTTGGTTACATCTTCTGACATCAGACTCGGACTTCTCTTGAAAGGAATTTTAATGTGCGTATTGTTATGCGTTTACTTTTCTACATTGGCTAGAGGTATAGGGGGAGGGTTGAGATCTCATAAACATGTTTAACCCCGCCGCATTTTTGCGCCTGTCCCAAGTCAGGAGCCTCTAGCCTTTGTCAGTCTTGTATTATTTTTAATTTTAGTTTCTTGTGTACAATTTGGATTTTAGTATGGCGTTCATTATCACTGAACTAGTATATATATTTGTTTAGGGGCCAGCTGAAGGACGCCTCCGGGTGCGGGAATTTCTCGCTGCATTGAAGACCTGTTGGTGACCTTCTGCTGTTGTCTGTTCTATGGTCGGGTTGTTGTCTCTTTGACACATTCCCCATTTCCATTCTCAATTTTAAAATACAAAAACGATATATTTGACAAAACAATGTTAGTGTAGTTGTTTACTTTTAAACCTTTTAACACCAAAATTTAAAACTAACAATTGAACAAGTACAATAAGTTCGCATTTTAACTCTTTTTCAGTTGCAAGGAGATGTACAAATTGGATTCGGAGATCCAGGAGAACAAATCTGTGCATTTGCAGCTAAAAGTCATGCTGCTCTGATAATTATGGGAACTAGAGGACTTGGTGCTATTAGGCGGACAATCATGGGTAGTGTTAGTGACTATGTTCTTCATCATGCACATGTTCCAGTCTTAATTTGCCACAATTAAAATTGTCATATCATTTTTTGGAAGATTAGTTTATGTGATTATATACCTATAGATCTTTAACCAATATTTTACATATATTTGTGAAATTATTAATGCTTCATTTGTATTCCTAATTTATATTATCCCTTTATATTAGTTTTACTTGTACCAAAAGAAAGATATTAAGAAAGATAATAATTGAAATAAAGAAAAATAAAAAAAACAAGATTTATGACTGACCGTATTTAAGTTATGAATAAAGAAAAAAGATATGTAACTTGCAGGATTCAAAATATCAGTTTGATACATTACTCGATTCATTTATTTTCGTGTGTATAAATTTTCGTGGATTGAGAACAAATTGTATTTTCGTAAATATTTGATTTCTTGAATATGCAAAAGTGTGTATACAAGCTTATAGAAAATTTATACTTCGTTGATCATTTAAATTCGTGGTTTCCCTTTAACCACGAAATAAACGAAAATTGTTACCCCACGAATATTAATGAATCCACAGTACTTCATATTTATTTACTCGATACTTTAGGTGTAATTGTTTTGTGTCGTTCAGTTTGTTTAACAATGGATACGGCTGTCATACAAGTAGAGGCCATGTGCCATAAACCTGGTTTAATTCAGCACTTTCATTATCAGTAATTATCCTTAGTCATCATTAATTTGTTTTAAGTGTTTTCGGTTTATTGTCATGGACCTTTCGATCATTTGTTACTTATCATTCCATGTGTTGTAACCATCCTTGAAATTTAGTTCTCGACATAATGATTAACGCTACGATCAGTTATAGAAACAGCATGTTGCTCTTGAAGAAAGGACATATAAATTACAATCCCCTCCCTCCTCAACAAAACAAACAAACAAACAACAAAGTAGCCTGCACCACCCAACTGTAATCTGTCCATAATATTGACTTTTTCCTGTAAGATGTTATAAAGAGCGTGGCGTTTTTGCAGTTCACGGTTCCTTAAATGATGGAGACCAAGCACAGGCACTTGTCTCTGATTTCCCCCTATACACCTATGTAACACTGTTATATAAAGGTATATGTGTAAAAATAAACATTCTGAGAGCAATGCCTGTGGGAACAAGGGCAAATCAAAAACCATAGGTTAAGAAATAAGACAACACCATGGCCAAAGAGCAAGAGTGCAGACACAGAAATGTCTCACCTGCTTTACTGGTTATGATTGAATTTTATGTTGAAAACATTTAGAAATTTTAAATAAAGGTATCTTATTAACATTACCAATGATTCGTTGAAAAGTATAACAAAACTATTGAAATCAAAGGTAAATTCAAAAAGGGGCAGTCCATAAAAACTGACAATATCAAATGTAATCAATCAACGGAGCAAGTGAAAAACAACTACCATATTCCTGACTAGGTACAGGCATTTTCCGAGGAAAATGATGGGTTAAACCAAAAAATGAGGTCAGGGCCGGATGAGCCCTGTCAGACAGTCATGTACATCTTACAATTTCAAACACCAAATATAGTTGACCCATGATAATTGCTTATAGTATCTTAGAATGAACTTAACCACGATAATTCAACGTTGACCAATGAACCATGAAAATGAGGGCAATTATATAGATGAACCTTCCAGACGGACATTTACATCTTACTATAATTCCATACACTAAGTACGGTATATAGCTGACTTATTGCTTAGTATACTGATCTAAACAGTAACCTTAGTCATATGATACTTCAAATTTAACACAAAAATATGAATATGTTTTATGTAATTGAATGGCCGACCATGCGAGTCCCTCATGGGTAGTCAAGGTCGATAAACACCCTCCTAGTAGTAGTACTGAATGGCTAATATTTATCATAAAACACGTGTACATATACTTTCTTTGACAGAAAATCCTTTAATTTATCCAAATCTTCAGGAAATGTACTGCTATTGAATTATTGTCTCCCCGTACTCTAGTTTGCCGATAGCTTTTCCGTATGCAGTGACCTTAACCTGACATCTTACGATAATCGCACTGCGCAAGTGCGAATGGACAACCCGTGAATGAAGAAAAAGTAAACAAACGTGGAATGAAGAACATGGTATTTACCGATTCTAAAATAAAAATTATAATACACCAAATCATTTAACAACTGTTATGACAAAAGAACGCATGGAAAAAATACATAAAAACCAAATAAAACATCGCGCTGTCATCTCACTTCTACACGTGTCCATGATTCTGTGTTGGTCACATTCGGTAAACTTCGGCAGAAAAACTCGAACATTAATTAACAGCCAAAGTTTTCGATCGACAATCATTGAATGAAATTTTTTCTCCGATTATAGTTATGGATTCATTATGAATGTGCACAGAGAGTTTAGTATATATCCATGCATTGGTTCAATGATTTCCTTAAAACATTATTAAATTACCAGAAACTCGTTTCGTATGACTTTAACGTTGGACAGGTGAACCATATCTGTGGTCATTTGTGACCGATTTTCCAGACAGTCTAACTTAGTCATATGGGTATATTCACTCAAAAAATACCTATTTGAGTACCCAAATTTAGAATAAAATCTTGAAACCCCCTTGCAGAAACAAAATCAGAGGAGAATTTTATTGAAAGTCAGGAAATCAGAATTCTAATATGACGTGCTGCTTCCGCTTTGTAAACAACCGCGTATTAAAAATATTAAAAACCAATTGTTTAGAGAACAATTGAAGATCTTTCCACATAAATTTTATGAATAATTGATAAGAAGCTACTTCCGGTTTACTCAAAGTTACTATTGGCATCAAATCATATGTTTCTTCATACTGATTCAATAAATATATGTTTTCTATACACTTTTGTCTGAAATAAGGGAGATAATTGCCAACTTCCGGTTAAGAAAATGTCACTTCAGGTCTCATGAAAGCTGTATTTACACAGATTCCAAAAACATATGGTTTCTATATACTTTTGCCTGTAATAAGGGAGATAATGAGCTACTTCCGGTTTATTAAAGGTCACCTCCGGTCTCAAATGATTGGTTCATGCATGCCTATTTGAAAAATATGTTTTTAGGTACTTTTCGATGAAATAAGAGCAAAACAGGCTACTTCCAGTTTACTTCAGGTCACTTCCGGTTGACATTTTTGAAAGGTCATATGTCACCCAACATTTTGCAAAAGACCCTATGGCTTTATCATGTACCAAGTTTAAGTAATAATCAATTAACTTTAAATCAAAACATTTCAGAGGCAATAACTCCTATAAGATGTTATCATAAAGCTTTAGAACGAATGTACCATTTCTTCCTCTCAATAACCCAAACATTTTGCATCAGTTCTTTTGTATCTACCTTTTATAGTTTGAGAGAAGATGCACACACAAGCAAAGCGCAAAATTTAGAACATGACCTTGACCTTTGACCTTGACCTAATTTTCTTTTTGTTGGAACTAGGACATCCAAGCAAGATACTCTAGGTCTCTATCTGTTACGGTTAATGAGTTACATTTATATAGCACTTATGTGAAATACAAAAGGGTAAATAACTCTCATATGGAGTCACAGTATCGCTTAGGTTAAAATTGACCGAAGCATCCTGAGGAATTAACAAGCAATTTGAAAAAATAAATTTGTTGATTTATTTTACGGTTGCGTAGGAGATGCGCACACAAGAAAAATAGTGTTTGGGGAGATAACTCTTACAATAAAAAGTGTTCGGTTAAACACGGTGAGTTTCAAAAGCGCAATAACTGTTCGATATCATATGCAAAAAAAATCTAAGCAACATCTGACGAAACTATTTTATACCAAAAATAATCAGAACAAATGCAATAGGTCTTTCCACAGACAAGTGGAAAGACCTAATTATCGATTCATCTATATTTAGCACAGATGAACATATTTATGGCAGTATGAGTGGCCTTTCGTGCCATTGGCGGTATAAACATAACGTAGAGAAATTTTAACGCGTTTGTTTTAACTGTAAACGCATTGGTTTTCATTTTAATGCGTTAGTGTTCACTTTTAACGCGTTGGTTTCACTTATAATGCATGGATTTTCACTTGTAAAAACTAACGTGTTAATTCGGTATGAAAACTTAACACATTAACCCTCGGGTGTATTCACTATATGCATTATTTCTTTAAATACACGGTTTGCATAGTGGACTTCATAATTGCTCTTCGTCTACCTGTTTTTTAATGCAAAATGGCGGAATGGCGGCAATTTTAATAATTTTTTACGAATCTTTTTTTCGTTCAGTTTGGTTAGAAGTTACTCTAACATTTTGTGTTAGGAAGTACACAAACATTGGTAAAACAGATTTTGTTCTCCCTCGAAAGTTAAAACTGTTGAAATGGCGGTTATTTTAATATTGTTAATTAGAATATGGTATCACCTCTAACTGAAATATAATTTAAAAAATAGCTCGCATAGTTATGAGATAGGTAGTGACAAATAAGAGAACGATTAAATCTCAAAATCCATAGATGGTCTAATGTCGCCCAAGTTTATGACTTTTCTGTTATACGCTACCATTTCCCTCATTTTTTTGGTTGCTTCTTGACATGACGATGTTTAAACGTAACGCGTCTGTATGACTATATAAATTGTTTGTAAAACTGACTATATCGACTACGTGAGTCATACATACAGGCATGGCATCACCTTAGGGGTTGCCTATACCGACGGTTTGACTCTTTAGGGGGTGTGGTCAACTTATAAGAATAGATGATGTCTATGACTCGTACGAAGTGTGGCCACCCTGTAAGGATAGCTGACGGCAGTGACGTCATAGGGTCATGCCCCCTTCCGCCAGAGCGCCACGTGTTCTAGACCTGCATAAAACACCTCTCACCCTACTACTGTTAATAGGGTTCAGTCTAAATTATGGTCGTATACTTGTAACTGTCATTGAAGAAGTATTTTGTATCTTCTGCTAATTAAGAACACTAAAACAAAAATCTATTTTCAAAATTCAATTAATAAAATCCATTTCAATCTCTGATGATAATTTCTAAATAGAAATTTATGTAAAAGCATTCATTCAACAAGAATAATGTTTCAGGAAACTTATCTTTTCCTTACGGTATGACAAGTGTAGGGAATAGGCGCATATTTTCCTTCCACTGAATTCCTCGAAAATGTTTAGTTAGTAAGATAAACTTGTTACTTCTCTTTTTTTAAGTACTAAGTATTTCCCGATTTTTCTTGTTACGGACTAACAAAATCAATCTGATAACGAGTTGATAAAAAAAAATCTATAAAATCTGACATTTTTTCTATAAAAAGCTAAAATAGCCACATTATATATTTTGCTGCTTCGCTCGGCGAACATATTTGATGTTGCAACCTTTTAATTCTCATGTGAACGCCTCAATATTTGATCCGGTGTAGAGAAGTTCTTATAGTGTCAACTGACCTATTATAAATCAATATACACAAGGCGTAGAATTACAATCAATACACACTGGAATATTTACTACCTTGAGTGATAATTAGTTTCGATTTAGATTTAATATAACTGGATATCAACTTTATTATTAACGTTGACGGTGACGCTATTAGAAGAAACTATGGCAGCAGGGAGAGTTGTTGTGGTTGCAGTAGACGGAAGCGTCCATTCGGATAATGCACTTAAATGTAAGCTAGATTTAAATAGTTCTTTATTACTCAGATCTCTTACTACACAGCTATAAACAAATCAAGTTAACGTTAATTATATTTTGTAGAACTGCTTGGGATTAACTTCTATAAACTCGAAGGTCACAGAAATATATCGTGTTGTATTTATAAATTGGTTATGTGTAAGATATGTGTGTATACATGTTTCTTTGTATTTATTATCTATTAATATTTTGTAGTGTAAAATACAGAGGTGCTGTCTAATTGTTCATAAGATATATTATAAGTATCATATTACAATAAAATATACAAATGCCATTTGGGCTGTTTAATAACAAATCTTAACAAAAACTTTAGAGTTTTATTGACTGTAAGTTTTATAAAATGTTTACCGAGGGGCTGTATTCATATAAAAACCAGGTGAGCAAGACCTTGAAATACTGCGCTTATTGATTGTCGACATATGTATGTGAATAACTTTCCTAAAAAGTTTAAACTTCATTTATTCCCATTTACATATTCATGACAGATAACACATAAACCTACAAATGAAAATTACAGTAAATTTGATTTAAAATTGATAAGATTTTTCTTGGACTTTTATCATGATTATACTAATCTTTTAGTTAGTATAATAGTCCCAGGATTTTCTTATAATGATTTATATTTTTAATGTATATATTACCTTTTGCGATTGTATATTTTGTAAGTTATGAAGAGAAGTTATATCAACAAATTACGTCTTCATGGTTACTTTTCCATTCTTTAAATAACAAAATCTGAAATGACAGAAATCATCCGCTGATTCACAATTTACCCTTATTGGGACTGAATAACTTTTGTCATTTTGAATATTTGGCCAATTTCTCCGGGCAATCCAGCTTCCTTCACAAATAAAAAATGAACAACGGTTTAGTTGATCGCGCAAGTAGAACGGCACAACAATTTTCTTTTCCAATAGTATTTCTTGTATAATATAGTCGTGTAGAACTAAAATGTTCATATTCAAGTATTTGTAGATATGCAAATCATTAAGGATGTTCGCTCTTCTGTTTCAAAATAATAAGCTTTTTAAAAGACGGTTATAAGTTGATAGTAAATAAATAACGGAACTTAAAAAGAAGAACAAAATGAAAGGTCCGCGTCCTTGTTTTTGAAATATAATTAATTAAAAAGTTGGCGGGAAATGATTCTCTCTAGATTTTTCATAAATTTAACATTGGCACCTCTAGTTTTTTCTTTCAAAAACTATGAAACATAACAAGGATTTTATAAGTTTTTAAAAAATGGTTTTTAAAACTATATGTAATAAATTTATGAAAATGACAGTAGGGAATAGCAGGCAAAATTTGTATTGGCACTACATGGTAAATATATTAATTGTAGATTACATTGATCGCGTGCAGATACCTGGTGATAAACTTCTGCTGGTGAATGTTCCAGAGGAATATAACTTTACTGATGCCAGTGAGTTTTTATTTTTTAATTAACTAGAAGAATGTTTTGTCATTCTTCGTCATGTGATACAAAATTTGGGAGAACTTCAACTATATAAATAACTGTAGTTAGTTAGAAAGAGCAGCGCTTAAATGAGGGGCTTGGTGGGGTGTCTCATCACGATTCACGAGTTGATTTTTTTGTCAATCACGATTCACAGAAAATAAATTTCCATGATCACGGATCACGAAAATATAAAAAGAGTATAAATCTGTAGAAAAACGGATCACGATAGCGAAAATGCGCCGATCACGAAGAACGAAAATAACCCATCAGGCCCCTCTTAAATTTATGAGTTTCTCCATATCAATGTCATGATTTGATACTCTCCGGTTTTTACGTGGTTACTATATAGTTTTGAAAGGTCAGTATGGGGTTTCGTAAACTCTGATAGTCAACAATAATAAAATTCTATACATTTTGATTTCTTCAAACCATATTTGTTATTTTTTCAAAATACTGATGTCAAAATGTCCAAGGCAAGTGTAATTTAGAAGTAATCGCTATGAAAATCATTAATTGTTTGTTCTCTATCAATGGAAAATTTAACTTAATTGCCATGTTGTTTTAGGTCCAGGCGTTATACACGAATTATTAGAAAAAATGAAAGAAAAGGCAAGTGAAGTAGAGAAGACATATACAGACAGACTCAAAGATATCAGTGTAAGACTTACTTGTTTTAAAAATATACGGAGAAACATTGTATAAAGGGGATAAAATATATATGAAGATACAAAAGGGGAATACAAATGTACGAAGATACCGAAGGGGATACTAAAAATAGCAAGTTAAAGGACTGACTATATTAATAATAACCAGAAGAAAAAAATCCTAAAAGGAAGGTCAAGAAAATTACAGATTACTTAAGATTGAGCAACCCGAACCCACACAAATTTTAAACATTGGAATAAAGGCAGGTGCTTCGAAAAGGTAAGCAGCTGAACCCGCCATCACCGTTAAATCGTTATCGAGGAAATATTGAGTATATGAAAAAGCGGAACATATCCGTGGTCACCTAGATATTAAAGCTATTCAAACTTTTACATTTTTATCACAACAATGTCTTTCAGTATTATCTAGCTTGTCAAGACTCCGATTTGATTGTGAAATCTAGCTTCTTAACTATAGGGGTATGGTTTAGTTAAACAATACTTTTACAATTGCAGGTTGATTTCAAGTTTAGAATAGTACACGGACACCCAGGTGAACAAATAGTTAAAGTAGCCGAAGAAGAAAAGGCGTCGTTAGTTATGGTAGGAAGCAGGGGTCACGGCTGGTTACGACGAACAATACTTGGTAGCGTTAGTAATTATGTGATTCATCATACCTCTATTCCTGTGCTTCTCTGTAAAAATATGGAACCATTAGAACTAGAAAATCAACAAAATTGAGGTTTAAAATGATGTATATTGGTAGAGTCGAAACGTATAAATGTGTAGACCAGAAACGTATAAATGTATGTAGGTTGGTTAGTGGTATGAGGCATAGGCGTTTCACCGATACGTTGGATTATACGGCGTTGGAAGCATATAAAAAGGCAGAGATCATGTTTGATCATAAGTAGCGGGACGTCTGATTTTTTTTATAGATTAAAGGGAAATTTGATAAACGTCAATGAGACATCAACTAACTACAAAAAATAACCAAAAGACATCAGGAACTCGACATACAATCTTCAACAATCAACCAACTGCAAATAACCAAAATGACATCCAGAGGTCGACATACAATCTTCAACAATCAGCCAACTACAAAAATAATCAAAATGACATCCAGAGGTCGACATACAATCTTCAACAATCAACCAACTACAAAAATAACAAAATGACATCCAGAGGACGACATACAATCTTCAACAATCAACCAACTACAAAAATAACAAAATGACATCCAGAGGTCGACATACAATCTTCAACAATCAACCAACTACAAAATAACAAAAAGACATCCAGAGGTCGACATACAATCTTCAACAATGAACCAACTATAAAAAAGCCAAAAGACAACAAGAGGTCGACATACAATCTTCAACAATCGACCAACTACAAAATAACAAAAAGACATCCAGAGGTCGACATACAATCTTTAACAATCAACCAACTACAAAATAACCAAAAGACATCCAGAGGTCGACATACAATCTTTAACAATCAACCAACTACAAAATAAACAAAAGACATCCAGAGGTCGACGTACAATCTTCAACAATCAACCAACTACAAAAATGACCAAAAGACACCCAGTGGCGACATACAATATTCAACAATCAACCAACTACAAAATAACAAAAAGACATCCAGAGGTCGACATACAATCTTTAACAATCAACCAACTACAAAATAACCAAAAGACATTCAGAGGTCGACATACAATCTTCAACAATCAACCAACTACAAAAATAACAAAAAGACATCCAGAGGTCGATATACAATCTTCAACAATCAACCAACTACAAAAATAACAAAAAGACATCCAGAGGTTGACATACAATCTTCAACAATCAACCAACTACAAAATAACCAAAAGACATACAGAGGTCGACATACAATCTTCAACTATCAACCAACTACAAAAATAACAAAAGACATCCAGAGGGCGACATACAATCTTCAACAATCAAGCTAAAAATCGTCCAAGGGTATATATTATAAGTTTTGATAAAAGCGTATTATGGCACTCATACCACATCTTCTTATTTGTAATAAAAATAACACTTATAATAAATTGGTGCGTCTAAAGCGCTTTCCAGAATTAACTTCTATCAGGAACGTTCAAAACGATAGATTTTAAAGCAAAGGATGCATTAATATTTAAGGAGTTATTTGACAAAAAAAAAAAAAGACCAGAAAAGATAAAACAAAACCTTCAAGGTGAACTTTGCTTCTCAATAATTTATATAAACACAGAAAAAGGGGCGAAACACATTCCTATTTACTTGTTATAAAAAAAAATCTGTCACGATTTGACAGATTTGCTAAAAAAAAAAGCAAACGACTAGAATTACGTCAACAAAGAAAAATGTAATTGCTATTCTAAAACATAAAATATATTATCAATGTGAAATGTTTCAGATAGTGTTTTCTTTTGAAAATAAATTATTTATATTTGTCTGGGAAACGTTATTTATTTATAAGTTGTAACTAGCCTTGATATAGCTTTCAGAAATTGCGAATACTCTGGGATCGGTACGTTGTTGTTGTGCTTTGTGTCGGTCTGATGTATCAAACCCTTTTCAAACGATTTTTATACGACCGCAAAAAAATTTTGAGGTCGTATATTGGTATGACGTTGGCGTCGTCGTCGTCGTCGTCGTCGTCCGGCGTCGTCGTCCGAATACACATTAGTTTTCGCACTCTAACTTTAGTTTAAGTGAATGGATCTCTATGAAATTTTACCATAAGGTTCAATACCACAATAGGAAGGTGGGGATTGATTTTGGGGGTTATGGTACCAACAATTAAGGAATTAGGGGCCAAAAAGGGGCCGAAAATAAGCATTTTTGTAACTTCCAGACATAACTTGTGTGTTAGCATATGGATCTCTTTGACATTGTACCACAAGATTCCATATCACAAAGGGTCAATGCTGGGATTGATTTTGGGGTTAATTGCCTCAAAATTTTAGGAATAAGGGGCCAAAAGGGGGCAAAAAACAAGCATTTTTCTAGTTTCATGACAATAACTTGTGTGTAAGTGTATGGATCTTTCTGAAATTTTACTACAAGGTTCCATTTCACAAAGGGAAAGCTGGAATTGAGTGTTGTGGTAATTGCCCAAAACGTTTAGTAATAAGGGGCCTAAAAAGGGGTTTAAAATAAGCATTTTTTAGTTTCTAGACAATAACTTGTGTTCAAGTGTATGGATCTCTCTAAAATTGTATTACAAGGTACCATACCACAAAGGCAAGGCTGTTATTGAGCTTGGTTTGGGGGGAAAGGGGGGTGGGGGTGATGAATCATAAGGGGGGGGGGGCGGGGGTCAAAAAAGGGGTAATTTTTTTTTCCTTTTTTTTTTGTTTAAAATTTACATTTTAAGTTAGTTATTTTTTATCTCGAAGAGAAAGTAGGAATTGAGTTTTTGGGTTAATTGCTCAAACATTTATGAATAAGGGGCCAAATATTGGTCGAAAATAAGGATTTTTTTAGTTTGCAACAAAAACTTGTGTTCAAGTGTATGGATCTCTGTGAAATTGTATTGCAATGTACCATACCACAAATTGAAGGTTGTGATTGAGGTGGGGGATGATGATTCAAAAGGGGGTTGAAAAAATGTGTGGGGGGTAGGATTTTTTTTTTTCCTTTTTTTTTCTTTAAAATTTTCCATTTAAAGATGGTTGTTTCAGATTTATATATGAAAGAAAATAATAATGATACGGTTATATATCATGAGGAATTGAAATTTAAAATTATGTATATTGGAAATTTAGGTTACATTGGAAAGTAATAATTGGCTTTGGGGGGGGGGAGGGGGGGGGGGGGGGGTGGTTATGGCTCTAATGTTAAAGGAATAAGGGGAAAAAAGTTTAAAAAACAAGGGTTTCCATTTTAATAGACAAATAATTGAGTAAAGAACATTATTTAAAAGCAGTGTAAGGTTGGTAATTCAAACTCATTTAAATATCTCATCTACACTGCTTTTAAATTATGTAAATTGGAAATTTGCCAATAACTTTATTGTTAATAAATGCATTGGAAATTTGCCAACAATTTTAGTGTAATAAACTTCATTGGAAATTTGCCAATATAAAATTTTGCTGATGAAGGTTTTTTGTTTACCTTTAGCCTTGACTATGAAGTCATTTTCTATTTTTATAGCCTTATGATGTAGTTGAATTATTTAATACTTTTATGATGTGTTTAAATGGGGTTTTATCATGTTTATGGTTGCAAATTTATTGTTTTAGTATAATAAACTCCATTTAAAATTTGCCAATAAAAAAAATTTTTGTTTATTTTTAGCTATGATTATGATGTCATTTTCTATTTTACTTTTATGGTTGCAAAGAAATTTTTATTTTTAGATATTACTGTTAAATGATGCTGATTAAGGTTTTTGCTATGTTTAGCCATGACTATGATGTCATTTTCTATTTTAATATCTGTTATGATGTATTTAAATGGGCTTTTATGGTTACAAAGGAATTTTATTTTTAGATATTACTATAAAATGTTGCTGATGCTGATTAAGGATTTTGTTTATTTTTAGCCATGACTATGATGTCATTTTCTATTTTAATACCTTTATGATGTAATTTCCATTTTTAGATATTACTGTTAAATGATGCTGATTAAGGGTTTTTTGCTATGTTTAGCCATGACTATGATGTCATTTTCTATTTTAATATCTTTATGATGTATTTAAATGGGCTTTTATGGTTACAAAGGAATTTTATTTTTAGATATTACTTTAAATGTTGCTGATTAAGGATTTTTGTTTATTTTTAGCCATGACTATGATGTCACTTTCTATTTTAATACCTTTATGATGTATTTAAATGGGCTCCCATGTATTTAGATTTTTGATTATTTATACATGTTACCAAATTGGTCCACATTGAACAAAAACGGTCCAAATTTCAACTTTATTACATTACATCAAACATTGAATTCTACATATTCTTTGATATATTGAAATTAACAAACAATTTAGTTTATGGATATTCCACCATAATAGGTAAATTAAATTTTTTCCAGTTCTTACACCACATTCATCCTGTGTCAGAAACCTATGCTGTGTCAAATATTTAATGACAATCCAAAGTCATAGCTGTATCAAGCTTGAATTTTGTGTCCATACTTGCCCCAACTGTTCAGGGTTCGACCTCTGCGGTCGTATCAAGCTGCGCCCCAGCGAAGCATTTTATTACATTTTGCTTTTATGTTGTGCTGTTTCATCACTGTCGCAGGTTAGGGGAGGGTTGGGTGCTGGCAAACATTTTTAATTCCCCCCCATCCTGTATGTGCCTGTATCAATACAGGAGCCTGTATTTCAGTGGTTGTCGTTGGTCGCTGTCTATCATATTTGTTTTACGGTGATTGTTTTGGTTGAATTTTGTTTTTCATTTTTTTATAATCTAATAGATAAAAGATATTATGAACGTATTATAAAGCCTATTTAGAGTGATATTCTTTTCGGTACTGCATTTACATTCTGGTGTATCACTTGCAAGCAGAATACATGGCCCGTCCTCTAATTGATATTTATGCCTGAGGGCTCGTTCACACGTACATTTAATCCGAATTGAATTCGAATCGAATGCGAATGCGAATCGAATTCGCTAATCGCGTTCACACACTTTTAATTCGAATCGAATTCGAATTTGATAATTCGCATTATCCAGTTCGCATTAGAAATGCGTTTTTGTTAATGCGAGTTAGTTAATTCGTTTCAATTCGAATTTAACTATGGTATGAACACTTTCTACATTGTAATTCGAATTACCTGAACAAGTGTTTAGACGGACAAATTAAAAGAATATCATCATTACTTCTTGATTATTTAAAATTGAAAACGTAACACTTATAATTCGTGTCCGCGAAAATATCATAGGCGAAATCTATAATGACGTCATTTTTTTTTTTCGTTTAACAATGGTTTGTGTAAAATAACAGGAAAAAAATGTTTTTGGAAAAAATAGGAAAAACCTAGCCCTGTTATTGAAAAATGATTCCAATAAATGCCATATCAGATGAAGAGAGCAAGATTGGAGATGTTATTGGCTCTAACATGGTTGTTTTGTTTTAAATTATGATTAATTATTAAAGTATATTAATTATTAATGCGAATTAAAAGTTAACGGCGTTCGGACAGTAAAGCTAAATTGACGCGCATTGCAATTCGTATTGAAAGGAGTAGGTTCGATAACACCCTAAAACGGCCCCTATTTCTAGCTACAATTTCAAATTAGGATTTATTGACCAATATCACAATGAATCATAGCTAATACAATGACTAGATAGAAAATATGTCTTTTTGTTGAAAATTTACGTACTTGCGCTCTATTTACATGATTTATGATGTCACAAATAGCACTCATTTTGATTTTCAACGAAAATTCAGTGATAACTGGTAAATTTTCCATGATTTTTTGGACAGGAAACATAGAGCGCATGCGTCGACAAAACTTGTTTTTTTAACAAAATGTTTGTTATCACATTTTACACATCTGGCTTGAATATTTAGTTTGTCAACGCCTGCGCTCTATGTTTCCTAGGCCTTAATTTGGTTGAAATCTGGACGATTTGGTCAAATTTCGCAAAAATCTCTATTTTTGTCCTATTTGGGATGACAAAATCAACGCTTTAAAACTAAAACTTTCACAAAAAAGTTCTTTTCAACTTTCTCACATGTCTTTTTATCACTATAAAACATTAATATCTTGAAACATTAAACTTAATAATCGGGGCTAAATATGACCCTTACCGAACTTACTCCTTTACGTTCGGACGTAAAACTTTTCGAATACGAATTAAACTTATTCGAATTAATTAGTGCGAATCGAATTCGAATTACGTGTGAAAGCAAAATACCCGTCCTCTAATTGATATTTAGTAAGCTTAGTATTTAGCACCCGGGAATATCGTTTTGAGTAACATTTTCACTCCTTTTCAATGAGAAAGTTAGTTTTTATCACATTTTGTTCAACATTTTTTTTTATAATGAATTTCTATTTATTTGCACATGAACATAATAGTAAGTTATACACATTTTCTGCATAATATAAATATATAGGCCGAAGATATACAGCATATAAAACAAAATTTAAACGACATATATTTTTTTTTCAAAATTACGGAGATCAATCAGAGTCATTAATCTCGACATTATCAGACCATTCCATTCAGAAGTAGGCATTATAGCCTATATATATATATTACTAATGCCCTAGACCCGTACGGGTAGTTATTGCCTTTAAAATGGCCTATATCACTTATGCCCTAGACCCGTACGAGTTTGTCAGCAGAGGGTTAAAAGGGGGAGGTGGTACGCCTGTTTACAACGAAGTCGAAATAAACTATTTCCGGCTGGCCAAACTAAAGACTTCTCCACGTGGGTCATTTTACCAGAGGAAGAGGTAGTTATTGCCTTTACAATGGCCTATAGCACGTATG